AGACCGCTATTGTTTTCATAATTTTTGTGACCAAAATATGTTCGTTCCATGATTGTAAAACATGGAGTGGTCAAGATTTTTCACATGCGTTTATGGTATTAGCTTAGTAGGCGTTGATTAGAGGTCGTAAGTTCTTAAGCTCATAAAGTCGTTCCGTAAAGAATGTTCGACGCCGACACTTTATTACACTAAGCATTGTGTTGCCGTAAACACGTTTAATTTATACTCCACTTTGCTATATATAATTTTGTGTTCAGAATTATGCTTTCCACTTAATTGAAAAAGCAGTTTTTGTACTTTGCAACAACGATTTTTTCAGTAATGTCAAAGCGAGAGATTTGACGTGCGTCTGGTCTAATCAGTAGGGTGGCTAGGTGGACAAGGTCTCCGGTCTACCTAATACCAAGGATCAAGAAAGAATCAGTTCATCATCCCCTCTCTTAGCATAGCTTGAATTAAATGAACTTCAAAATTATACATAGTATCAAAAACGTTGAAAAGTAATTTTCTTCTACGCTTATATTATCTTCTCAAAGATGAGGTAAGAGGGCCCCTAAGTTGCGGGGCCCCTGGTGCACTGCACCAGGTTATGGCTTTTACATTAATTAATATATTTCGTCGGGAAATGTAGATATTAATCGCGTGGTAGGTATATCGAAATTCCGACCGGGTCGCGAACCACCGTCCACAGATGGAAAAGCCGTGAAGTTTAATCGCGTTTCAGTTTCAGTCTGTGGACCTCCGAATATCGAAAGCCAAAATAGGTTAATGGCTCATCTTGTTTAGATTTTATATGGCTTAGGTATTTTACCTCCCTTCAAGCGAACCTCATGATCGTATGTCCTCCTCTATATTAAAAAAGATGCATGTATGTACTTCCCGTGATAAATAATTAAAACTCGAAATTTTAACCTGCTCGGAGAAATTTATATTGCTCGTAATTCTCGCTAACCCCTTGGGAACTATATTTTTCTGGAGGAACGTTAGTCTTAATGACACACTAGGGCTAGATTGATAAGTTCGTAGGTTCAATGGTAAGAATGTATGGCTAATAAACACGTCGTGGGTTCCAGTTGCAGCTTGTCTAACATTTTTCTGAAAATTTAAATTGCTCTCACTTTATCTTCAAAATCCGAATATTAAACGAGTGGATTAAATGTCAAATTCACAGAAAAATATTCGTAAAGTGTAGGTATATCTACGCTTTGGTTACACTAAGTGGGTTGCCGATTGTACAAAGTTAAATAGGTCATAATATAGCTAATAGCTGGGGTATTTCAAAGTAAGACTTTTACTTAGTGAAAGATATTTTAGTGCACCCCGTGATTCATGGGGTTTGAAAAAATATTTTTTTGTTCGAAAAGATGCTTGTGTACGTACGTCAAAGATAGCGGGACTTTTTTTTAATGTGACTTACACAACGATAGTTTTCAAAAAATACTTTTAATACACATATTAGTAATACATTTTTTTCATTAAATACGGTTGTTGGTTCTTTTTAGTATAAGTATCGGCATAATTAAATTTCGATTTATCCTAAAAGCGATTACTAATATTTTATCATTCGAGTTTAAACATGTTATCCACAGATATATTTAAAGCAATTCCATTTGAATAGGTAAGTATACAAGAAAATCGTTCAATTTCTTTCACATACCGAATGCCGAGAGCATAAAAGAGAAAATTCCTGAAGGCTGTATACGAAATATTTCTCAGATCAAAACCGTTGATGCATAGCCCTGTTTTATTACTAGGCTTTTCCCGCGTCGTTTTTGCCACGGAATATAAAAAGTTAATTACATTTTTGCTACTAAGCTCTCGACCCATTTTTATTTCCACCTTTTGGGGGAACTTTATGGGGTTTCAGTCCAAGGATACTGATAGCCTTCACCCGAACCAATATACACCCGGACAAAGCCATGCAATCTCAATTAATGTAAAGCTAGTTTGGACCTATTCATCTTACGGAGATTATGTTTCGAGATGGGCGTAAGTGGTAATGTAGCGTTGTATCCTTTTCATTGAAATGGTAACCAAACAGGGCAATATTAAGAATTCATTACCTAGTCAATGTAAGTTAAAAGTCGATAAATTATTAAAAACATTTTTGTGACATACCAAACGAACAGACACAGGTATTATCCTTACTAATATTATAAATGCCGAAGTAACTCTGTCTGTATGTTACTCTTTCACGCCAAAACTACTGAACGGATTTGAATGCAATTTGGTATACATATGGTCTAGACCCTGAGAAAGAACTTTGTATTGCGAAAAGGGAGTTGTGAGTGGTTAAAAAAGGGGGGGGGGTGAAAGTTTCCGTACATTCGTGGTTTTTAAGAGTAAGAGTAGGAGTGATGTGAGGTGAGAGTGTTGAGGCGAAGTAGCACTTACAACATAGATTGGCTGCAATACATGTGCAATTACATAAATTAATAAACAGCCTGAATAATTAAAATTTCTACCCCAAGTCACTATTCCACGCGAACGAAGTCGCGGGCACAGCTAGTAATATATATTATCCTACGATCATATATCGACACAGATATCAATAAATTCATTCAATTCCTTCATATTAGGATTTAGGAATTCGTGTTCATGAAAATGGAATTCCAGATAACAATCGAATGACGAAGAGGAGAAAAATATATTTACATCTTTATTGTTATAAATTCGATCATGCTGGTAGGCTTTTAATAAAATACGAATATCCAAAGCCAGAATAGGCCGACAGCGCATCTTGAGTTGAATTTATATGGCTGGGGTATTGCACTTACTTGTCTGTCGTCCTCTATCATAAAATCAATCCTTTTTTATGGCAACAACGGCATTCAATATCACAATACATTACAATTAAGAATTAAAACATATAAGGAAGAAGAAGTTAGATATGGGATTTATTTTAGTCCTACTTACTCCATGTTTCGTTTCAACCAATTAAGTACCCAGATAGTTTAAAACGTATGTTGACTTCAAACTGTGTGCTGGGCTTCAAAGACCACCAACATTTCTCCCGAAGTGGAACCTAGTGATCTGGTGCATAACGAGGCAGGAACAAAAAATCTAAATAAGAGGATATATTAATATTTCATACTTACATTATTGAAATATTTCTTATGAGTCAAGTGTTCGAATAATCTGTTACAATGTAATAAGACAAAAGAAGACAAGTGAGGTGCCCATACCTGTGTCTAGACAATTAATAACATCCTCAGAATATATCTCCAGATTTATTTGGGCGAATGAATTCAGACGCCCACGAGTCAGTGAATTCGTCTAATGGGAGTTAGGACATAGGTGTCCCCATCTGCCTCTGTGATCGATTCTCTTTTACGGGCAAATTAATCATCCACGTCTGGTCTCGCCATGGGCATTTTATTTCCTTTTTCATACTAGCTTTATGCGCGGCTTATTCTGTGTGGATTTTGTAAAATTTTCAGCATTTGAATAGATCACAGCTAACATTTTAAATTGCGAAGGTTTAGTTCGGTTGTTTATTTTGAAATAGTTTTTCATTTTTTCATCTTTAATCAGTGGCGAAACTATAGGGTGGCAAGTCGGCAAAATGCCACGGGCCCCCAGCCCGAAGGGGCCCGCGGGCAGAGGAAATCTCAATTTTTGGTTCAGCTTCTTTATATATTGGGGAAGTGGGAGGGCCCATTCGATGAATTTGCCACGGGCCTCGAACGGTATAGTTACGCCACTGTTTTTAATCTTATAATTTTCCGATTTTATGTTAAATGTACTCTCTCGGTCTTTTGCATTACAATAGATCTCTCATCTCGTTACTATCAATCAACTAATTCCAATGAGCACTTTCAAAGCTAGTCTTACAAAGCCTTCTTAACGTGGTACCTAACGAAATCAATGTGTTGGTGATAATGAACAAGCTCCATTAAATTAAATACCTAGGTATTTATTAAGTCTTTAAGATGATAGAAAATATCAGAAGTCTCTACTAGAAGATAGTGTTGTCCCAAATCTTTGATCAAGGCTGCGATTAAGTAATAAAACAAAGGATTAAATAATTTTAAGCAGTTAAAAGTCATTTATTTGAAGAATGGTCGGTCTATATATATATTTTAGAGTCAGCAAGTTCGTCCGCGTCCCGTAGTTCTTGCAAGACAATTATTAAAGATAAAAATATAGTGTCTGAGACATTTTTTTTAGATAAATTAAAGAGGAATATTTTTTCATACATATTTTTTGGGTATCTTGAATAGTTGTCGCAGCGTATGCAACAGAAACCCCCAAAGACGAATTTATATTCCCCGTTTTTTTCATATTTCCCCCTATCTCTTCGCCCCTATTAGGTGCAGCATTTGTTTAGCCTAAACAATGTTTATAGCTTAAAGCCTTCCTCGATAAATGCTCTAACCAACACGAGTTTTCTTTTTATTTCGAACCAGTAGTTCCTGAGATAAGTGCATTCAAACAAACAAACAAAAATTTGTTAGTTTGAGCTGTTGAAGATAAAGATGACTTGATGATGATGATTGAGATAATGATGACTGTAATCTTCTTCGCTTCTTACGGCACGGATCCATAAGTAATTAAGGAGTAATTTCACGTGGTCGACCTATTTTGGCTTTCTATATTTGGAAATGAACTGAAAATCAGAAGGTTTCAGTCTACCTTCACGGCATTGTCACCGTTAAAAGTATTTTTCTTATATACTCCGATGTTTAAAAATTTGAATTTAAATACTGTCTGCAGTTTACGCGAGTAGTACACATTTAAATAAAATACTTTAACGGTTTAAAACGGGATATATATTAGTTAAACTTGTTTGAAAATTATTTTCAACTACGGCCCGACGTTTCGCATGCTTTGCAGCAGCCGTCACGGGGAGGCAAGTTTAACTAAAATATATCGCGTTTTACCCGTTAAAGTGTTTAATTTAAATTTGAATTTAATATATTGTTGTCTAAATGTCTTGTTTTATATACATAATTTAAGCATGAAATAAATCAAGTATTTTTCACAGGTGTAAAGTGAGGATGCTTGACGAGTTGAGCCCAACGGACGTTTCAAACTGGAGCACGACGTATGAACTGCAAGACTTCTATATCACATTTTTCGATCAGACCAGCGGACAATATGTTAATCACACACACAACGTTACACAGGTTTGTTCATTTCTTTGTTATAACATGCCCAACATTTCGGAATATTTTTAATAACCCTCGTAGGTCTATTAGTAGTAATGGCGGGTCGTCGGTTTGTTCTCCACCGAGTTTTAGGAATTAAATAAGGTTTAAAAAGGTAGTTTCTTACGTATTATTTATAGTTTATAATATATGTAAATACATTGGTACAGACTTATATACACCCTAACCATATCACTTCCGCACATTTAATATTCGGAACAAAAATTGTGTAATAAACAACTTTGTTTCCGTATTACTTAATTTCTAATTTTTATTCAGGCTTACCAATCCTACATACTACCCTGGTGGAGACAACTGTTATGGACTATACTTTTCGCGGGAATGATTGTGGTTTCCACCGTTGGAAACCTCGTGGTCATTTGGATAGTACTTGCTAACAAACGTATGAGAAGCGTCACCAATTATTTTCTAGGTAAGTTTTTACTTTATCTGTGGACATATTTAAGTATTAAGGGGTAGTTATTTTATTAAATAGCTGTAAACCGACTTCGTCCACGTAGAATAGTTATTATGGACATCAAAATTTGTTCCGTCCCGTCGTTCTTGCAAGTTAATCTTAAAAGAATTAATAAGTATATTTTGTATGTTTTAAGATCTTTTTGACATTCTTTTACTAATTTCAAGAAGAGCCATTCTTTTGTACGTGCGTATCGTTTGAGTATCGTTTTCACAGCTCACGCAACGGAAACCAAAAAAGATTAAAAATTTTCCCCGGTTTTTTCATATTTCCCTATGTTACTTCGCTCTTATTGGTCGCATCGTGTGCATAAAGCCTTCCTCGATAATCATTTTCCAATTCGAACAAGTAGTTCTTGAGATTAGCGCCTTCAAACAAACAAACTTTCCAGCTTTATAATATTAGTATAGATTTTCATGCTAGGGACCTACCGTATAGCCACGTAATATCGGCCTGTTTTATGAATGTGGATAACTTCTCATCCCGCTATTTATAAAGTATGCCCGAAGTATGTTCCGTCTATTAAAATTCCTTATTGTTTACGTTCGCTAAAATATGTTCGAATAATTTTTATTGAAAAATAGATATAATATATGTGTTCTTGTGCTTTTTTCAAAAGAGAAATTTAAATTAAAATAATGCTCGTGGTGATAAATAAAGAAAAAAAAACATTATGTTGTTAGTTAAGAACCTAGTTTTTCAACATACAAAAGACTGTAAATCTTGGAAAGATTTGTGTGCAGATAGCTCTATTAAGAAACACATTTACTAACTAAATACCTCAACAACACACATATCTAGTTACCACTCTGTAATTTAAACTTATCTTACAGATAGTTATAGAAAACTAACTACGACTGGCTTCAACTAGCCACAAAGTTCCACTTGTGTTACGATATTTTGTATGAGAACTTTCCAGTCACAATAGTCATGAAGCCAATTGAAGTAGAACTATTAAGCGCATGAGTCCACAAATTTATAAGTACACAAAATTCTATGATTGTTTCGGATTATTCAATTTTCATTGTAAAAAATCTCGTTAGCATCCCCCCTCCGTGGGGCATGGGGCGAACACATTTCTGTGTCCGTTTCATTGACCCGTTCTTTTTAAAAGGCAGTCGGTCAGACTTCTGTGCCCTACGCGACCGGAACATATTTTTTTTGTTAGTTGGACCCAGGACCTCTTGCGCATAACGTAATGCTACGCAATAGGTACGTTTAATTTTATTTGGCTACAGAGGCAGTTTTGAATTAATATTACTTCACTTGTGGAACCCCTCGGGTCGTACCTACTGCGTTAAACTATAACTTTCTAATACTTTAACTTAATAAAATGCGAAATAATATTAAACTATATTAATGCTACATTGTAAATAAATTAGAGCATAGTATAAATTGTCCCTTACACTCTTTCTCCCCCCTTTTTTTCGTCCTCTTAAGGTATTTCGGGATTGACAATAGTGTATTTTCTATGTTTATTTTTTTTTATTAATTTATATTATATAAATGTTACTGTTTATAAAACATACATATTTTCGTAACCTGTTTATTCGAACGGAATACATTTAGTTAGAATAAACATATTGGTAAGTTTATTAAAACAAAACCGTTATTATTCAATGAATATGGCATTTGTCTATTGGATACTTGTTATTGTAACATTATTCAATATTAACTATTCAAAGGCCTAAACTAATAATACGTATCGTATCATGTTTATTCACATTCGATCTCGTAGCAATCGAAAACTAATAAAAGCTTTTCAGAAGAGCTATTTTTTTCAATCAGCTTTGACGGAGGATATTCTTAAGTATATGGGAGATAAAGATTTTTTATATCCATACCAATATTATAAAGCTGAAGAGTTTGTTTGTACGTGCTAATCTTAGTAACTACTGGGTCGAATTGAAAATGTATGTTTGTGTTGATTGGGCCATTTATCGAGGAAGGCTTTAGGCTATATAACATCACGCTGCGGCCAAAAGGATCGAAGAAAGTATGGGGAAAATTATTCAACTGAGAGGTCTTATGTCCAGATACCCAAAAAATATGCATCAAAGAATGTTTCTTTTTTAAATGAATTAAAAAAATGTCGGCCACAATTCTAGTCTATTAAGTTTAATTCGCGGACGCAATTAGTATCATATAAGGAGTAAATATTTATTGATTGACAAAGCAAGAGACAAAGTATTAGATAGATTAACTTCGAGTTCTTAAACAGCTTTCGTTGGTTGATTAAATATATCGTCTTATGACTTTAAGTAAGCTTAGGCTTAGAAGAATTGGGTCACATAACATCGTTACTTACTCGTATGCTGTATTCGGTATTTCCACAGAGATATAAATAAACGTGTCTGCTTTATAACATTCTGTGCGAGCGTTAAAAGGTCTATGGTTTAATAGTCAAACACATTCTAGGATTGCGTTGCTCCCGAGATGCCCAAGGTTCGAGTCCATGTTTAACTAATAAATCGCTTTGTTTGTGGTTTACGCGATTAATAAAACACTTAAATAATACGCGTTACGCGAGTAGTGCACATTTAAATAAATCACTTTTTTCAGATTATTATAACTAGACATCGAGTTTCAGATACTTTGTAGCAGCCGTGGTCACAGGCAGCGGCATCGGGCCGTAGTAAATAAGATTTCTACTAATACATTTGGCGTTTTTACCGGTTGAAAAAGGGTTTTATTTAAATGTTCACTACTCGCTTAAACTACAGACGGTACTTAATTTAAGTTTAAGACGGTACTTTATTGCGTTTTAAACTGTTGAAAGCGTTTTATTTAATAAACAGCTGTAATAATTATATGCTACTTATATGAATTTTTTACCTATGGACTTGTGATCTGACTTACTTAATAAAAATGCGCATTTTCTTTTAATTCTTTATCTATAGGACTTAAAATTTACAAATTATAGATCATGCAAATGTTAACACTATCTACATAATAGAAAGCATTTTTGTTCCATGAAAAACTTAGTGAGTGGTTTATTTCAGTGAACCTCTCGATAGCGGATACAATGATGTCAACACTAAATGTGACCTTCAACTTTACTTACATGTTGTATTCGGACTGGCCATTTGGACACTTCTACTGCAAGTTCTGTCAATTCGTGGCCGTGTTGAGTATATCAGCTTCTGTTCTCACTCTCATGGCCATCAGTATCGATCGGTAAGTTTAACATAGATATATAATAAGTATCTTTTGATTTTTTTTTAACTACGGCCTGACGTTTCGGATGAAGGCGTGGTCACGGGGAGACTCGGGGAGACGGGGATTCTCCCCGTGACCATGGCTACTGCAAAGCATCAATCAATCAATTAAAATAATTTTCAAATAAGTTTAACTTATATACATCGCGTTTTTACCGTTAGTGTTTTATTTAAATGTGTACTACTCGCGTAAACTACAGACAGTATTTAAGGTACATCTTAATATTCAAATGACTTGATTAGTAATCCAAATTTCCAAATTTCTGTGTTTAGAAATATGTATTTCATGTTAGTACACGATTCCGGTGTTAAATCGTGATGTCAAATGCGGTCTAATTTATTGGTACGCATAATTGTCGTAATTTAATCAGATTATCGATTTCATTAATAATGTGATTTCATTCATTACCACCTATGAATCATTATAACTAACATGCAAATATGGTTAACATAACACGCAAAAGTAAACAATAAACAGACATTTAGTAATCTGCATAAACGTTACCTACATAGTAATGATAAAATAACACTTATTACTAGGCTATGTCACATCGAATGTTTACTCGTAATAAATTATAGAATATATTTATTTCAGACACTGAATGAATGAATGGTCAACGGTAACAGGGTTAAGGATACATCGTATTATAATTATTTTTTAGCAGCTATGCTTCAGTCGATGGGAGATGACAGTCGCATTAGATATTCGAAAATCCACAGAGTGAAATCGAAACGCAACATGGCCCAGAAAATGTCCCATGTTTAAGAGTTTTTGATTTCAATATAGATTGAAAACATTTTATGACTCGTATGGGACTCGAAACCACAACGTTCCGCGTGCTGCCACCATTGAGCTCTAGAGTCCACAAAATATTGATACCTTCTAGCTGGTAAATAAAATCTATGTGTAATAGGGACACGTGAATATGTGCGCACCATACCACAAGGAAAATGAAGTCATAAATTTCTCTTTTTAATTACTCATCACAATAATATCCTCTGAGGCTAAATTAATAGCGGATTAGATGTAATTCTAAAGTATTTAGGTAAAAGCGGTCCGAATAAATTGTACTTCTTAAAACAATTTAAGAATTAATGAGGCAAGCGAAATCTACTGACTTCTGAAATAATAACAAAGTTTTCTTTGCTAATGACTTGATTTTTTACTTTTCCTAAAAGTTAATGAATGTTCGGAATTCACGGAACCTTAGAATAGCACAACTCAAACACGTTGGCTTAAAAATCGTCATTTAATTTTAATTTAAAAGAAGCATTTACTGTTTCAAATTTGTGACTCATTTGATTTATGAAACATCTGCGTTTGCGTGTTTATGCTTGAACTATTCAACGCTGAATATTTGTGACAAAATATATCTTACACCTTATTTTAATAACTTTATATATCATTTAAAATAGCAAAATGTATATATTTTTAAAATAATAGATATAAATACTGTTATGTTTAAGCAATATATAGACATAGATACAGTTTTATTAATCGCCTTAGTACTAAAGACTATAGCACAAGTCATCTGCGCCAGAAGAGTTACATTTTTAAGCGATAGAGGCCGTTGCACAAGATAGTATTATTCGCTACGATAAAAAGATTATTTTTAGATAAAACTACTTTTATCGCGACGTCCGTAAGTTCACTACCACTACCACGTTTTGTATGGTATTTCATACCAAGCACGATACTCTTTCAAAAAATGCCTTGCCCAAAAGATGGGTTGCCCATCCTCAAGAATCCTAGTATATACTGAATAATAATAAAAATAAATACTGTTTCAAACTGAACTAAAATATCTGACATATACGACATTAATTAATAAATTAACGATAACAAAATCGTAGTATCAAACAACAGTTTCATATTTTGCGTCCGTAACACATTTTAAGAATTTAATATCCACTCGCAACGCAATTATGCAATTAATAAAGCTGTTTAGTGACTGAAAACTTTCCACTTCTGTAATTAAATGAAGTTACTGAAAATTAACTGCGGATTATATTTGCATCTATAGATACGTATTGCCCGTGGATTCGTTTGTGTTTTGTTTTTAATTAGGTAATTCTAACATAAGATTAAAAATCTACAATCATACGGGACTTGACACGTAACAGACGGCGGCGTATCGTGGCGATGGTTTCATAAAGGAGGACAGACAAGCTTGATATGTACTTGCCATATGTTCTAAACAAGATGCGCGCTATCGACCTATTTTTGCCTCTCCATGTTCGGAAATCGAAAGACTGAAACCGAGGCATAATTAAACTGAACGGCTTTTTCATAAATGGATGGTGAAAGACGCGGAAGGAATTTCGTTATTCCTGCCATCCTTTAATATCCACATGTCCAGAAGAAGTGTTTTAAAATGATAAAAACATGTTTTAAAAATGTTATAAATTGATTAGAAACTTGTTAGTGGGAATCAAACCAACGACCCGTTGATTATTATCCATACATTACTACCATAATACCACAGTGACCGTCACAGAGGCCGTCAAAACTACTCATCTGTCATTTATGAACTTTGGCGTATGCACGTTTTATAATTCATAATTATAAATATTCAAAAGCTGTACTACTATAAAATTTTCACTTAAATCTCTTCAGTATTCAGATTTTATGAGAAGCCGTCTACATATATTATATCGTATCAAATTATCGCAATTGTATTCGTATTTATTATATTTGAATTTACTTTTAAAGAGATTAAGAATGTACTAAAATTCGGTATCCATTATCATGATACAACACTTTGATTTTAGCCAAAAGGCCGAGAAGCCTCTGTAGCCAAATGGCCTAGCATTGCGTTAAGCGCAAGAGGTCCTGGGTTCGAATCCCAGGGGAACAAAAAATTGTTTCGATCAGGTGGACACAGAAGTCTGATCAACTACTTGCTTGTTAAAGAACGGATCAGTGAAACGGATCGGATGTGATCGCCACATGCCCCACGAGGGGGAGTCGGGATTTCACACACATTATCATGATGCTCAACGTGTCAGATTTCCCATGAGAAATAGTGTTGAAAAGCCGTGTATTTGTATTTTACAATCAGCATCGCTTGTTACGCGGGTAGGTTTTAAGCCCAACCAACGGTGACAGGAACAATGGAATGAAAACCTTTTTGGATTAGGATCGCATATGTTATTTCCGTTCTCATAAGTCTGTAACTTGAACATGTGCTTTCAGTACGAATTTTCAGTTTTAATTTCACTATAAAGCGTCATTGTGTTATATTCGTACTAGTTAAATTAAAAACTTTACTTTGTTCTTCCACTTTTAAGGGTTGAAATAGAAAAATATATTAATCAACTTATTGATAATGTATTTCAACTGCGGCCCGTCGTTTCGGATGCTTTGTAGCAGCCGTATTTACGGGGACTGTTTTTATTTCGCGTTTTAAACGGTTCAAAGTGTTTCATTTAAATATTTACTACTCAGGTAAACTTGAGACAATATATTGACAAGGACATTATATTCATCTTCAGGCTACGTGTAATACATTACAAATAAGGTTACTAATATTACATATCATTCTTTAATTAATTAATTCTTCGAGCAATCGAGGAACTAACAACATCTCCTGATGATGCCGTCCGCTCTTGATGGCAAAACGTCAAGATTCTCTTCTCGCTCACGTCGGCCGAACAACCAGAAAAACAATGATATGCTGAACGATGGTCGTGAAAGCCTTACACTATTTATTGTTACTAATATACTTCTGGTATTAAACCGTTTAAAGTATTTGAATGTGAACTACTCGCGCAATCTCATATGATGCTTATTCGATTATTTTCAGATATGTAGCTATAATGAGCCCTCTTCGACCGAGGTTGGGGAAACGAGCTACGCTTGGCATAGCAGGCGCGATATGGGCTAGCAGTTGTGTGATCAGCAGCCCAAATTTCCTCTATTTCACCACAGACACCGACTTATTACCGGATGGTAACGTGAGGTAAATATCTATCTCCCATAGTAAATAATCTCGACGAGGTCATTTGTCCTCCATTTTTATGGGATCCAACATGTTTTTTAAATTTTAAGAATTAGTTCGATTACCGACCATTGATTAAAATGTAAGTAAAACTACATTTTGGTTTTATTCTATAGAATTTGAATGTTTTAATAGAAAATCGGCAACAAATCACCTTAATTAGACGTTCTTGATGCTTCACAATTCATAAAGTCAGACTTATCAACATCTGTCATAGAAGTTAAATATCAAGAAGGCTTAAATCTTCTTTATTTAATTTTAATATAAACCGTATTCAAACTGTATAATAGCTATTTGCTGAAGTTCAAGGAATGAAAGCGACAAAAGTGCTCACATTTTGCGCCACATTTTCACAATAACTTTCGCAGCCGCGCAAATTGCTGCACCGGAGATTGCAGTTTCCTACTTTCGGTATCGATATTATGAGGGACCTTTTATAAAAATCAACTCCATTATCATTTATTAATCTAATTAACTAAGAACAATTTAAATAACTTTAACGGTTTAAAACAATATAATTTTCAAAGGCCGTAGGTAATATAATTTTCAAATAAGTGTAACAACTTGTTTGAAAATTATTTTAACTACGGCCCAACGTTTCGGATGCTTTGCCGCAGCCGTGGTCCAAATACCAACTTCGACGGAACAGATGGCGCTACCATAGCAGTTTTTTATTATGGCGTCAGAGACACACATTCAGTCTACATACATCTTTAGTCTCCCCGTGACCACGGCTGGTCCAAAGCATCCTAAACGTCTTGCCGTAGTTAAAATAATTATAATTATTTTAACTACGGCACTTTTATCGGCATATATTTTTAAATTTATTCCATATGCGCCCTTAATATTTCACAATCAATGGAAGAAATCGATACAGTAGATAAAAAAACCTTTTTATTTTACATGAGCCTATTGTGAACCACAATCGGAGTACAGACCTATTATTTCCACGTCCTCAGCGACCCATAAATCAAACCCAAGGGTTAAATTTTAAAATTCAATTAGTTTATAATTCAAGCGCAAATATAATATTTCCTATCATAACCTTTTATAGTAGACATATTATAGAAACGTTTAATAAGAACGTACAGTTAATATGGGATATGCAGCACTCACAAATAAAAATGATATTATAAACAATTCCTGATGAAATAATTCAAAAGTGATCTTAAAATAACAACAGATTCCTGCCGATTCAAATCCTGCCCGAGTCTGAGTTTTTTTCAGTTTATAATCGATTTTTAAATATTTATTCACGTATCGTTAATCTAGTTTTACTGCTAGCTGAGCTTCAATTCCCACGAAATCATAATCCAAATAAGCAGGGAAAGGAAGTCCGATCAACAATTTTGTATACCTGATTAAAAAAAAAAGAACACGGAAATGTGTCTGTGTTTATAAACAAGAAATCGAATGAATACTAAAACTTTTATTTCAGACGCATTTGTTTTCCCGACTGGCCTGATGGAATAACGACGAGATCTCAACTGGAATATGTGTAAGTACTTTGTATGTATATTTAGTAGTTTCTCTTGGGTAAGCTAGTCTACATTTTGCACAAAGAAAGTACAAATCACTGCGACCGCGAGGTGACACGACGGTTCTGGTAATGTAATTGAGTCATTCGATGAAGTGGTCACTTCTATTTGGATAAAAGTTATGTACCTAACACGCTTTTTATAAAACATATTTATTTGCTAACGGTACTTTTGTCATACTTTTCGATAGACGCCCGATAGTTAGCAAGCATTTGCATTAAATTGAGGTACACACACTTGCAATGTTATTGAATAAGGTATTATTACGGTTGAAGACTTTAATATTTTTGCACATGAAGGCACGATAAAATTTAAAAATCGAAAATAAATTGAAAAAAAAAATTCGACTCGGGCAGGACTAGAACCGACATCGTCAGGGTTCCTTGCTGTTGCTCTACCAATTGAGTTACCGAGTCTGTAATTGGTAGAGCAACAGCAAGGAACGCTGACGATGCCGGTTCAAGTCCTGCCCGAGTCGAATTATTTTTTCAAATTTTAAATTATATAATAATTATATTAAATATTTAAATTAAAATTTAAACATTATTAAAACAATGCAACCTGTCATCTTGAGCCCTCTTAGTTTAATTTGTGCTCAGCATTTTAACCTAAGTGCCTATTTTAGTAATATAATTGTACATATTAGCAATAATAATCTATAATTGAGATAAAACGTCAACAGTCATTACATAAATAAAGAATATTATTTTAGGATGATAATATCATACTTCACAAACAGCTAAGTATAAACTAGCTGTATCGGTATTCGCGCAGAATTATTATTTTGGGCATCCAAATACGTTTTTGCAAACCCCTTGACCTTTATAAACTTAAGCTATTACCCACGACGTCGGTCACCTCCCTTCCCGTCGTTCTTGCAAGCTAATCTTAAAAGATAGACATATAGCGTTGCAATTTTTTTTTAGATAGAGAAATCATTCTTTCATACAAATTTTTGAGTATCTTGAACCGTTTTTTCAGCGTACCCCTCGGATACCCATAATGATAAATAATTTTCCATTGTAGGTCCACTTCTCTCGCTGTATCTTCGCTTGTACTAGTCACAGGGCAATGTTTTATAGCCGGTAGCTTTCCTCGTAAATGCCTTAATCAACACAAAAATAATTTCCATTGAAACTCGTAGTTCCTGAGATTAGCGCGTTCAAACAAACTCTTCACCTTTATATATTAGTATAGATTATATTTAGCTGTTTGTGAAGTGTAAAAAGTATAATTCTATATGTACAACATGATAAAATTTAACGAATGTTTTTTCGTACCTACATAGGTACCAGAAACGATCTTTATCTACTGGACAAAAACGTTTTACTTTTTACAATCTACCTTTCTAGGGTCAATAAGGAATTACCTTTTCACCTTTCAGATACAACGTAATGTTTATGCTTCTTACATATTTTCTGCCGATAATGTCGATGACTTATACGTACGCTAAGGTCGGCGTTGAATTATGGGGGTCCAAATCCATCGGGGAATGCACCCAACGGCAGTTGGACAACGTTAAGAGCAAACGAAGGGTAATTGTACTTTTAAATTATCTCCCTAATTTGACTTGAAAGCGAAATCGTTGACCCTAATAATTTCTTGCGTCGTGTAATTGCGCAAAGGTTCTTGATCAGTCCCCATGGAATCTTTTTCGTATAAAGGACAAAACTTAGATGACAGGATAAAAAATTAAACATTTAGCAATTATTTGAACTTCATAATCTTTAACATATTTTTCCACAAGCTGTGTAAAAACTCTAGCGATGATTCTTAATATAGTAAAATGTAATGAGTATGTTCTTTCGGAACGCAGTAACCAATCTACTCAGTTTTATATAAATTATTATTATTAATATTTCATAGTTATGTAATTATACATATATCAGTCTAATATTTAATTTCGGTTATATGCCAAGGCAGATCACAAGAGACGTTAAGCGCTAAAAATCGGAATATGTAAAAAAAAAATTCGTTTTTCATCAAGGTTCTCACGATACGATTTTGCATCTATGTACACTACATTACACTCTTTAGATTGTGTATTGAACACAACTCAAGAAATCTTGTTTTTGGTTATAAAATAGATCTGGTATTTTTAGGTGGTGAAAATGATGATAGTCGTCGTAGTAATATTTGCTGTATGTTGGCTGCCATTCCATGTTTACTTCATTGTAACGTCATATTATCCAGACGTAGTGAACTATCAGTACATACAAGAAATCTATCTAGGAATATACTGGCTCGCAATGAGCAATTCAATGTATAACCCTATTATTTATTGCTGGATGAATTCCAAGTAAGTATACATGAAAATGTCTACGAGATTTTTATTTAAAGAGATTTCGGGAAGTGCTCTAGAACCCTTTACGATAGGTCGGTACAGTTTTTAGAGATATGGAGATATATATTTGCTTAAAACGTATTAAATTGACTTAACACTTAAGCAAATTTAGTTTTGCCAAAATATGTCTGTTTACTTGTTAATATTCTTGATAATGAGTGAAGTAGTTTCATCCTAGCTTAAAAAATATGTTAAATTTCTTATATTGCATAAAAAGGAATAAATTACTTACGTTTTCTTACGTGTGTAGATTAGGTGAACTCCATACGTGTCTGTCCTTGTCTATTAATTACTGTCTGTAGTTTATACGAGTAGTACATATTTAACTTCGGCTCGACTTTTCGGATGCTTTGCAGCAGCCGTGGTCACGGGGAGAAGCTAAATTATTTTCAAATAAGTTTAAGTAGTACATACAGTAACCGTTAAAGTGTTTTATTTAAATGTCCTTGTCTATGGTGAACAAAAGGAATAAACATGACAAATGCTAAAACTTTGTTTTACAACCTACTAATTCATGCTGTATCGCCTACTTTCGCTCTAGGTTTCGACGAGGTTTCAAACAGTTCTTCTGGTGTTGCGGTGCCATGGGAAATGGAACCCTCAACAGGCATAGAGCATTCGGCCCAGATCGTCTCGACATGTCCATGAGATCTGTATCTCCGAGCAGGAAGAATGGTACAAGTATGTTATTTATGTACATTTTTTCTTTCAATCTAAATCGCTTCTTATTAAAAATAATTAATTTAGGGTGGGTTGTCTAAATCTGTCTGTTAGGTACGTAAAATACCAGGTTTAACTTTTACATTAGGGACACCCTCCCTCTTCAGATGCCCCGTGGCAGTCGTGCTGCTGCAAAGCATCAGAGATGTTGGTCCGTAGTTAAAATAAGTTAATTTATGTCCAACTTTTTAAATGTCTGATACATATCGCGTTCTAAACCGTTAAGTTGTTTTATTTAAACAGCGGTCGTAGCGGAAATTAAATTCTACGAAGGCTGTCTCAGTAACTTACGAGAAGTTATTCCTTTGTTGTAAAGGAACTGAGTTACGTATTCAAAACTAGCGTCATTTCTGATTTACATATCTATTAACTACAATTGTAAGAAGTCACCCAAAGTACATCTGACTAAATAGTTAAAACTTAAAACTAGCTTCAGGTAGAAAGACTTTATAGTCTGTATTTTCACCACTGGTATAGATTAATCAAAAACAGTTTTAACGGCAATATATCCCCTTTAAGTGTTTTATCAATCATTCTTATTGTACATAAATTCAGATCAAATGTCAGAATAACTCTTCTTCGTAGGTTTATTCAGGACAACGTTCAAAGCTACAAAGTCGAAACAATATTCGCCCGGACCTCAATTGCTGCATGCAAAAATATAGACACGGAGATGAGCGGTGACCAATACTAGGTGGTAACTAACTTTTTGTAAATTGCATCAATTGGCTTTTGAACAGTAGTCATATCTGGCATTGGTCATTGGCCATTATCCTGCCTATTTCTTGCTTTTCATGTGACATTTACTTCTTTATAAATTAGTGTTAATTTAGGCCATTTTTATTATACCAAATTATCATTCACATTATATTACGATTAAGGGTTATTTTAAGCTTTTGAAGGACACAGAAATTATAGGATTAACGTTAGTTGTCTATTGCAACAGATTGCATGCAGAACAGCTTGCATAGCTTCGTAAAAATATAAAAAAGTTTACTAAAAAAGGGATATCACTATATAATAGCGATTCGTTCTAGTAATATCGATGCTCGATTGTTTCGAACTACATTTGAATTGATTTTTTAGAACTCCCAGCAGCCATTTCTAAGTTTAATTTCATTTAACAGGTACAATACGGATATCGCTTCACAGCACGTACAACAATACGATGATGAGCAGCATTTGACACCGACGAGGGATGTCCGCGAGACGCGGGGAGCTCGCTTTAAACGAACCTCAGCCAGGAAACGCCGAAGAACGTACATGGATTTGACGATATAGACAGCGAACTACGCCTACCCCCCAAGAACTATACGGTTAAGAAAGAACAGCTTTGCTTATGATTTGATATATACTATTAGATTGCCTCGTTACTTCAAAAGCGTCTTGATAAACACAATAAGAGGAATTATTTCCTTCAACGTGTAAAATGGCCTACAAATATTGCAAAAAAGAGAAGCTCTGTTGTTGCAGTATTATACGTTATTGTGTCACTTACTTACTAAAAACTAATGGTGGGTTAGTATTGAAACGTAAAAAACATTTTATTTTTATATTCAAGACTTCGTACTATGCTTTCCCCTAAAACAATAAGTATATAATAGTAATTAGGAATTGTCCCATTGCCGACGATGAACGAAGAACAAATAGATCTAGATATATAACAAATAGATAAAAATGTATAATAATGTTAACTTAATGATTTAATTAAAAATATACGAGTAATAAAAACCCAAGGTAAATTTTCGGATTTGTTGCGCCAATTAATATTTAAATTAAAAAACAATAAAAGGCAGCACTCAAGTAATGTCAGTTTTGGTCTTTCACCGAGATCTAAACGCCAAGCGAGCATAAAAAGGTTTTCTGAATTAGCATCCTTCAGAGCACTTGACGCTCAGATATAAATAAGACATCTTCAACAATATTATAAACATCAAATGCACCTCTTTTAGTTAATGGCTTACATATCGGGTTAAGTTTCTAGAGCGAAATAATATATGGTTTATCGTTTCATCGCCGGCGACGACTGTGTATGTACCCACATATAAAAATGCTGTAAACTGATAACAATTCTAGTCGATCTAGTATAATGTATAGCTAATGTGTAAATAATATATAAGGATACTCATATTTAAAATTTTAGTATACAATAATTATATAAATATTAATTTCTGTGTAGGGTAAAATAACGCTAAATCATTATAAAGGCCATACTTCTAAAATTGACGTCCCAAATCCCAGCATAATGAGAAAAGTCGGACGACTTACAAGTTGCAAATTGTTATTTATATCATACTCATGAATTTAGGACCAGTAAAATTATGCCTTCCGTAGAATGAAAATGATTATTAAAAAATTCAGAGATTTTATTACTGGCTTATAAAAATGGCGATATTACTTGAAGGTCTTGGTGTTTATTTATTGTTATATTTTTCAGCTTTATAACAATAATTTTTATAGCGACCAAGTGGTCTTTTCATCTCGCGTATAAAATTTATTGCTCTTTCCTTAGGTTTTACAGAAATTATGTAGGAATTGTACAACTGATATATTATTTTCGTGCAATGAATGATAAAAAACCTCACATGTTTTAAAAATTGTCTAGAAGAAACAGATTTTATATATAAAAGAGTATAAAATAGAACACAAAGAACCACTGGAATACATTATTTTTTATTGTCAAATCTAATCCTACCTAACGCAATAACGAGTTCTAATTTGGATAAATATAAATAAACGTTACATATATTTAAAATAGTAAATACCACTTATTTTTTTATACTGTCATATGAAGCGTTCAATGGCATCTAGAAAATAGATAATATATTACGTACATACTACGTAAATATAAATATATTAAAATTCAAAAAAAGTTCTGATTTTCCTCTATTTCGAAATAATACAAAAATGTATTTTTTGTTCTTATAAGCTTAAAAGGGGCTTCATTAAAGTAATAGAATCTCTTCTTTTTCGTTTCTAAAGACACGTTACGATACGTTAACAACAACTACCATAAGTTAATTGTAGACAATGAATTGTATATTTTTACCAGCTGTGATTTGTAAATTCATATATAATTATATGTAACTTGAATAAAATAAATTATATATAAATATATTTTATTTTTTTGAAGTGATGCCCAAGTTTCATGACAAAATTCTTCGTAATGGAATCTAGCGAGGGTCGGGTTAACCCTACTTAATAAAACCAATGAAAATAAAAGAGGTATAACACAGTTATTTCCTAGGTGCTTTAGAATGAAAATAACTGGACTATGTTTAAAATAGGCAATCTGGTCCCTCACAACGAGGACACTAAATGGGGAGGACCGAAAGCATAATGTAATAAACATTTCCTGCCCTCTGGGTCTAAAGACTTAAGAGTACATTTGGGTCTCACAAAGGGGTCATCAACACTATGTATGGTTACTTCAACGATCGTAACACATTTATCAACTGTAATGCATAAATAATGAGTGACGACGAGTGATAGAATTAACTAGAGTTAATAATATGTTAACTAATATATTTCGCGTTTTAAACCATTAAAATTATTAAGTTAAAAAAAGTCTATTTTGAAACTTTCGAAATGGATTTAAAGAAACTTACACAATATTTAACGCAAGAAAAGCTTACTATCTATATAGCCAACGCGATATATATTAGTTAAACTTATTTGAAATTGATTTTAACTACGGCCCGACATTTCGTATGCTTTTGCAGCAGCCGTGGTCACGCTGAGACTCCGTTTTAAACCTATAAAGTGTATTATTTAAACTTATACTATTATTATATCTATAGTAATTCAAATTCTATGCTTTTGTTAATTTTTTGACGATCACGATTTCACGAGATTTGACAAATCAAGTGAATAAGTATTCCTATATTTTTAGGGTCGCTAATTTCAAAAGTAATAATTAGAATGACATTCAGACTGTAAAAGCCAAGGGACAAAAGATTCGTAGCCGCAGTGGAATTCTATAATAAGCATTTAAATTGTTTAAAATATCTTTCAAAGATTTCAAAGCGCTGCCCCTTTCTTCCTTTGTACTAGATATAAATCGATTTCCGGAATCTACGGACTTACATTAATATTTACGTTATTGTAACATTTGCAAAGTAATTACGTATTTTTATTGAAATGCAATTAAAACTCTTCATAACGACTGTATTAAATAAATACAGCTTGCTTTGTTTATTTTATAATCCATATGATGTTAACTCTATGTATAGGCGTCTCTCTATAATAGATACGAGTTTTAGAGAGTTTGAGGGAGATGTTTAAGGGTGTTGTCTGTTATTTTCGCGAGTAGTAGACATTATTTTTAAGGCGAAATATAACAGTTAATTAGTTTTTTAACTACGACCCCACGTTCGGGTTATTCACATGTTTTTTATTTTCTAAATATAATCCTTAAAATAAATATTGTTATTATTTTATAAGCTGTATCCTGCTACGATCCCCATGTGGCACATTGTTTGATGGTGAGAGATGTGAACAAACAAAGAATTAATTTCATTATTTAATTTTCAAATATTATTGTGTTAAAATATTTATGTTTATTCAATGTCTGTTTAGATATATAGATATAGACTATAAACTAGTTTGATCGGCAACACGTAGGTGACCGCGCCATCTCCCGGAAACGGGGAAAAAATTCGGTGGCAAACGCCTTAATAATGGGGCAAACCCGGGGACCCCCCCGGTCAAAAAAAAAAAAATTGTTTTGATCGGCAGGTATACATAACTGACGATGCCGAAAAAATCGCTCGGCAATTGTTGAGGATATCAACCTAAACATTCGATCTCACGGAGCTGATTTCAAAATGTTTGAAGAGTAAACAAACCAACATAATATATATCTAAGTATATATAGACAGAATGAGTTATGTTAAATATTGTATGCATATATGACATTAGGAATTCTATACGCAAAAGATGAATGTAAAATAACGCAATTATTTTGAGTAAAAGTTTTAAAACATGCATCATGCGGTACGAGGATAAAAATGTGAGTTAAATATTTTCAGCAATAAATCAAATGCTCAGGGGAAAGCTAAAACATCAGCTCAGCAATCTATAACGTACGACCGTAGTATAATATCTTCCCACGACCATGGCGCATGTAACAGCTTGTCTGAAATTAAATTATATCCCGATTTTTGTTCGTTGTCATTTTAAATATACTACTGATAAATATAATCGTACATATTCGCTCTTCGGTGTTTTTCATGTTACGACGATAAATTACATCGCTACTATTGGACCTATGGGCTATATGTTTTTTTTTCATTCTATGTACATTCACACTATTTTTTTATGATAGAGGAGAATAGATGACGATAGTGTACACTTTAAGCAGGTGAAATATCTTAAAAAGATGTAAAAGAACCTCTTCTTTTACACCTTTTTGTTTATCGAGCTTATCAAGCTTTTTTGGCTTTAATATTACATTTACATAAATTTTACTGAGATTCAGTATTTTAAACTACTAGCTGTGCCGGCGACTTCCTCAGCGAAGAATAGTCATTTTGGGCATCCAAAGTTGTTTTTGAAAACGTCCTTTTCATGTTTATAAATTTAAACTGCTATCCAACATCGACAAAGGACGAGTCGCGTCGACCGCGGCCCATCCTTCGGATCACGTCGTTCTTACAAGTAAATCTTCAAAGATAGACATATAGTATGGCGGACTTTTTTTTAGATTATTCAAAAAGGAATTATTCTTTCATACATATTTTTTGGGTATCTTTAACCGTTTTCGCAGCGTACGCATCGGAAGCCCACAGATATGAACATTTTCTTCCGTTTCCTTTACATTTCCCGCTGCTTCTTCGCTCCTATTAGCCACAGCTTGATGTTTTATAGCCTATAACCTTCCTCGATAAATTTTCTACCACAGTTCTTGAATTCGAACCAGTAGTTCCTGGGATTAGCGCGTTCAAACACACAAACTCTTCAGCTTTATATATTAGTATAGATTTACGCGAAAATCAACTAACATTACTTAATTGAAACGATTAAAATATTTGACTTTCGATTAGATATGACCATTGTCCACTACTCCAGTCTTTCTTACCAAAATTCAAAAAATTTTTTTTTGCACAACAAGAGTTTGAACTGCCGACTGCATGATTGATAGTAGAGCTAAACTGAAACGACTCTTTTCAATAGGATGCAGTGATGTAGAAGAAACGTTTCGCTTATTACTCGATATTAAGTTTATATAGAGAAATAGGTGATGAACATGATAAATGGTCCCAGCCGGATTTCGCTGATCGGAACCATATATCATGTTCCAGCGGGAATCGAACGCCGAAACACTTGCGTCACGCACCTTATTAAGTAAATTATAATATACGATATTTCCGTTTACCTAGGGATTCAATCTATTTGAGGTTAGACATATTACATAAAGACCAGATTTTCCAGAGATGTTTTTAAAATCTTAAAACAAGCAGAAAAGTATTTATATAAGGAGGAAGATGAGAGGTTAACCGAAATAACAACCTGTATGTACCTGTGTGTGCTTAGGATACGTGTATATTACCACTGAAACAAGTATCTCCTCAAACATTTTGTTATTTTTTAACTTCCTTATCGTTGTAACCTGGCTATAGACGCTAATAATTCTACGAAATTCCTTCTATCGCTGTCTCTATTACAACTTCTATTCACTCATGTCCAGCGTTCTAGCACGTAGTTGCATAGGTATTGCACTATAAAATTCCTTTTGGTAATTTCATCTCGTGTGAAAAGCTTTTACGAAAGAATTTGTTAATAATAGCGATGCAAGGAGCATCTTACGATTTTAGCTTATAGGTCTATTGACCGACTGAGTTTCTATGAGACTATGTGGGAAACGTTGCTCCAAACAAAAATTAGTCTTGGCCTCCAAGATAGTATAGTGTCCTATGTAGACAATATATTCTATAGTATGAAGTCGTATAATGAAATATAACGCAGCTTTTAAATAAAACCGTGGTCTCGTCTAGTGTCTCCCCGTGACCACCTGCTGCATAGCTAAAATTAAAGTTAAAATAATTTTAACTAATACATATCGCCTTTTAAACCGTTAAAGTGTTTTATGCAAATGCGTACTACTAGCGTAAACAACAGAAAGTCGTATATTATTTTTAAGTTCCAATTAAAATGAAACTTGATTGTGGAAACTGTAAATTGAGGTTTATAGTCACTTTTGGAGAATCGGCAAATATTTGCGTCATCAAACAAATAGGTGAAAATTTAATTATGCGTATCCTGGATAACTTGACCTAACGACATCATCCTTTGCATAAATTTCACCCTTCGCAGGAACTTAACCCTCCGCTTTGAACCGCGAGATTATGGACAGAATAGTAAATGATACATCAACCTTACTTAACACGTTTGTCGTACGTATAACGATAGCTTACCGGTGTTTTGCTCCTAGAATCCTAGATGGCCTTTCCAGGACAGATCATAATAATTATTTCTGTCAATTTTCGAAATCTGCACGTTCTAGACTCGGTTTGAGTTTTAAAGAACTGTTATAAAATATATATTTTTAACTGGATGAAACTAAATATAAAAAATATAAAAGATTTAGAAAAGAGTATTAAAGAGTAGTTTACTTTTTGTGAGCGTGGATGTTCGGGTTTAAAATTCATAATCCTTGTAGCTGGTTTTGAAACGCTGTAGAATATCTACAACTTTCGTAGGTGAAAATTTATAACGCTGCTACGGGTAGCGTGGAATAATGTTTTTTTTTAAATTTATTACCAAATATTTGAGTGGTTTATTCAGTGAACTTTGTATGTTCAATAAGGGTCCGGAAACGCTCAAAGTAAAATATACATCCTCAAATGCCTGTGCTGTGATGAGTGGTGTGGTTTGCTTTGTCTGCAATTCGCGAATTATTTTAAACCAAATGAGGAATAAATAATATCTTTTGTCTGAATCAAAGCACGAGCAATTTGATAGCCAGAGAATAAAAGCTCGTGCTTCTACGCTCCCGTTAAAAATAATAAATATTTATATGAAAAAAAAATATTTGTGTCATGTCAAAAAGTATAAAATGCTGCTGAAAACACCTTAGAACAATATTGCAGTAAATATTATCAATTTAAAAAAAATATCATATCTACATAGACAACTCGAAGATGATGGGTAGTCTGTACTTACTGATTCTAATATTACAAATCTGAAGAGATTGAATGCGCCGATCTCAGGAATCAAAATAGCTATTGTACGCGGACGAAATCGCGGCCACACCTAGTTATTAGATTATAATTAATGAGATTTTCGTGTTGTTTTGTCACTTATTGCCCCTTTTTTAACGACGAGTTTTGCGATAATCAATATATGATACCACCAACGCTCAACAGATGGAGCTAGTTCGGGAGAATATAAATAAACAAATTATCATATTCTCAGAAAACTATATAAAAGTATATTGCAAATTGATTGAGTTCGTACCACTGGCATCTAGGCTTTAATACAAGCGAAATTGTTGCGAAGTAAACTCTGTACAAGGCGATGGTTGTTAGTAAAAAATGCAATTGATAAAGTAAAATATTAGGTTCAAAACGAAGAAACAACTAAATAAATAACTATACTGCGAGTTACATTTCAGAATTCACAGAAAGATAATTAAGATTTTGTGTAAACTAACTTTCACAGGGGAGATTAAAAAAGTTTTTCATTCAAAGCTACACTAACATAAAACTCAAAATGTTCCTTGCAGATAATTAAGACCTTACTTGTATATCATGAAGACTTTTTAAAAGCTGGTTTCGCGAAAAATGTAATGAGCCATAAAACTATTAAAAATTTAAACGTTTTATATTGATTACGAAGATTATAATCATTCAAGAAGGTATTATTTTATATTAAAAAAAAACAAAAAAGTTAAGGACTTTTACCCTCTTTCTCTAAATATTGTATTTTATCATTTGATAATGACGTATACGAGAATGTAACAAACATTTTGTTTTAAGTTATGGTACCATAACTGTAAAACAAGATCGCGTGAGCTCAAAAAAATAAAAATACTAATAAAAAATATATTATAATATACAAAAATATACAAATGTTAATAAACTAAAACACCTCGCAGAGGATTTCATATTTCTTGTAGCCAACTTCGGATCCGCCGAAGGAAATGTAGCATTTTTTGTGACTCGGTTGTACCTAGAATAAAACAATAGGTCTAAATAATAATTTTTAAGTGAGATCCTGTTTCCCCAGTAGGGCATGGGCATTATTCTGTGCCTGGTTTTAGTAAGAATATCCATAGATGCCTATAGTAATCAAGTACTAAACATAGCCTATGTTACTCGGTGATAATGTAGCTTTCTAATGAAAAAAGAATTATTAAAATCGGTCCAGTACTTTTTGAATTTTTTCGTTACCTACAAAAATACAAATCTTCCTCTATAATACTAGTATAGATATAGATAAAGTACATAACATAGAAAGCATGTCATTCTTTAATGTGTAGGCATGCGAAAATTATCGGAACTAACACCTGATAAGATAACTTATTTTAAGAAACGATTTATTTTGATTATTCCAACACGATAAATATAGATATCGTTTATGGTTCTTTGAAATATTAATCTGAAGTAACACAATCCATAAAAATACTTAAGTTGTAAGAATCTATTTAAATAACGTTGGAGAAAGTGTGTACAAAGCAAACTTTTGAAAAACGTCATAATTTCTGAAGTGAAACATAAAGAATATATGTAAACAGGAAGTTGTGGGCGTCCAAAGTAATATTCTACATGACGTAACGCGTCTTTAAATATACAGCTTTTTAAAAATAACGGACAGAAATGTGAAGTGTACCTTTACTGACTTTGAAGAAAGCGGTCTATTCAATTTATACAATAGTTTACTTTTTTTTATATATTTCAATTTATTTTATTTGCATTTAAAAAAAATGGTTCACTTACTTTCCCTGGTGTAAGCGATCCCCTATGTTTCACCCTGCCGATGTAAAGAGGTTCACCCACATGGGTATTTCCCGCTGGAATTGCCCCATCGGGGATCTCATCTTCCTTAGCGGACACCCACTGCGCTGCCCCTGGTTCCACACAAAGAACCTGTAAATTGATGTTAAGTATGTATGTGAAGTTAATACCAATATAAAAACGTGATGAAATTAAATATAAAGGAATACGTTTATAAACAAACTATGATATCTACTGTATGACTAAAATCTTGCTATACGCCTGTACACTGTACAGTTGATAATGGCATCGTAAGCGAAGTTCGAAATTCAAATAACTTCCCAAGTTTTACTATCATTCTCATATAAGCGACATTGTTTCAATTTTTTATTATGAATATTTTAAACTTTGCGCCTTAATATCGAGAGACTTAAGCCAAGACGAAAACTTATAGTGCAGTACTGTAAGTTTTCCTCCATATTTTGTATTAAATTATCAGAGAAAAGGTTCCAGGCACAGATCGTAAACGTCAAATGGGCCTTCGTAACTTGTTTAACTGTAATTTAGGTGTCCGAACCAATCAGCCTTCAGTTACGGAACAAATTAGAAAAAGATACGTATTTTTAGTACCGTCACTATTCAAGATTCTCTATCTTTCTATTTAAGAGTGTAAAGATACTAACATCAAACTCCTGTATAGGTACTTCCTTGCCAGATAGAGGGACGTAAGCTGCACCATGTTTGACAGCCAACTTGCCGGGAACTAATCCGTCTTGTATGTAGGCTCGGATTACCCACAATGGGCTGCTATCCCAACCTTCCTTGCCACCAACGAAAGCCCGACTCATCAGAGTGTACGCTGTTTGACGTGTTGCTGGTACCCAGTCAATCGGAGGCGGTGCTTCAAAAAGAATAATTAAACCAATTATTTTATTAAATATTCTGATTGTGGCCTAAATGGTTAAGGTTATTATCAGGTTCATCAACAACATACCAAAAAGGAAGAGTTTCAACCTACGATTCTCCTTTAGTTTAAAACATTTGTTGACGTCATGACGTCATTTTGGTTTGTGTATCTAATTTACACACTATCTATATTATTTTTTCGTAGATATTTTCTTGTATACAGCTGTAATTATTAGGCGAGTCCTAGGTTAACAAAGAAATTAATTATAATTCAATCTAATGTAGAATGCTATTAATTACTTTTAAGTTATACAACATAATTTCTCTAGAAATCTACTCCACGCCTGAGAGTACTATCTTTATTGAAAATTTCTTAGTCTGTCTTACAAATTCAATTACATTGACTGCCATGAAGTCTTTCTTCTCTAATTCAATGACGTAACATAACTCTAATGAAACTTGTTATTTTAAATCGTTCTTACAGTCAATGATTTCGGGTTCAGGTTCAGGAACCGTTTCTGGGAACCTGGGAGGCAGAACTGGTATCGGTTCAAATCCAATTTCTGGCATCGGTGGCGGTGGGAAGCCGATATAAGGTACAGTTGGATCTAAAAACAGAATTTATTTCATAATGGTTGCAGTTTCGATCGTCTATTGCCAGCGACATCACATCAAGATTTCTAGGTTCCAATAACTACACAACCTCTATGTCAAGCCGTTGGCAAGTAACAGATGTTTGTCCTTGATTAACAAAATTAAATGCATCGCTTTGTTAATGCGTCCTAGGTTTGTGTCCCGAACAGGTTTGTCTGTTAAAAACATAGTTGTCTATCCACTGCCCAATGTGGTAGAATGAGAATTTTGCCTAAGTTTTTGCGATGCCACAAAAACTTAGGCATTGTCATTACATCTAAAACCTGTGTCTATGTTTACACAAAATCTAGGTGTCTACATTAATTATTTGTAGGGAACTTTTATTGAAAAACTCATTCAACATTTTACTTTGTAACATCCACCAAATCAAATATTTGAGTTGATCAAAAAGGTCACCCAATATTGCCCAACACTTCAATTTACTGATATACTAAATTAAATTTAAATTAAATCATTTTAAAGTTAAATACTGTCTATAGTTTACGAGGGTAGTATACATTTAAATAAAACACTTTAACGGTTTAAAACGCGATATATTAGTTAAACTTGTTTGAAAATGATTTTTAACTTCGGCCCGACGTTTCCCTGTGACCACGGCTGCTGCAAAGCACCCGAAACGTCGGGCCCTTAAGTTAAAAATCATTTCCAAATAAGTTTAACTAATATATCGCTATTTAAACCGTTAAAGTGTTTTATTTAAACATTTTAAAGTTGATCAGATTTGTAGGGCGTTTTGTAATTAAATATAAATAGAGCCACATTATTTTTCTATATACATATACGGAAATACTATTTTAAAAACATTTCTGAAAAAAAAACAAAAACAAGAGACCATGAGCAGAAACATTTTCGCTGGACATTATTTTCTTGTACCTAATCAAGCTGCACTTTGTTTCTCTAGAATTCGAACCCAGGCCTTGAAGCGCGCAATGGAAAGGGTTACGGATGTGTGTATAAAAATACTATGTTTGCTACGAATAAACTGTATTTGTGAGCCTAATACACAAATCAAAAAGAACAACTCTCATACACGTTATTGGATTCCAGAATTTATTAACTTTGTTTTCGCTTCCTGTGGTCAAAATTGAATGTCCCTCGAAAAAAACATTTCTGTTTTCGGGAAAATTTCGAAACGGAAATTCCTGTTTATTTGTCCTCGCTTATAAGTCTTAGTTTCAAAACATATGTATATAGATAATGATGAGAATAATGACAGTAAAAGCGTATGATGCGCGCTAATCTATATTGGACAGGGACTATATTATTATATTACTAGCTGAGCCGGCAAACGTTGTTTTGCCATATAAATTATTTACTAAAATGTCTATTAAAAAACAAGGTGAAGGGTGAAAATTGAGGATTGTATGTATTTTTGTATCATAAAAAAAATAAAAAATAATAATAAAAAATTAAGGGTGAACAACCCTTATCACTTAGGGGGATAAAAAACAGATGTTGTCCTATTTCAGACCTACTGAATACGCATATCAAATTTGGTGAAAATCGTTCGAGCCGTTTCGGAGGTGTTCAAGTTTGAACACCGTGACACGAGAATTTTATATTTTAGAAGATTGGGTAACCGTGAAAAAATTGTAAGCTTAAGTTTAATTATTTATTCCAGTAAAAGGGTTCGTTCATGGCGCCTTTAATTAAAGTGGCAAGAAAACTTCTTTCTTGCAAGTTTTCTATTCTTTAGCAGGATATCTTTAATTATTCACATCAACCGGGGTTTACTAAAGATTTTTAGTCGATCTTTTTAACGCCAAGGAGTATAAAATGAATTATATCGTATATATATCCGTAGTTCATATCCCCTTAAATAAACATTTCTTAAACATAATTCTCAACAGCGTTTCCCTGCGTTGTGTTTAGCGAATGAAGTCTTCGGTTCAAATCCCGGAAAAACAATGCTAATTTCGGTCAAACACCGCACGAAGATCTGATTAAATTGTCTCATAACTGAAACGGATCTGATATAGACACAAAATACCGTCATATTGATTGTACACTTCAACTTGATGATACATACGTAAATTAATACATCATTTAAAAGCACTAATCTATCACTACAGATTGGTAAATTGTCATAAAAGTTTAACTATCATGTTAAATGTATTAACAAAAAGGTTTACAGGAAAAATTCTTACCAAATGACATTTTGCAGTAATTAAAGTGGCGTAGACAAACGACCGACGACCGTATTAGTCGAACAGATAAATAGCGATTTTTAAATGTTATCGTACATATCACATACCATATCTATAACTTCTACGTAACGATAAGATAAATGAATTATTTCATCGCTGGTCAAAATTGGAGTTTCGTTAAAACAATAGGTAATCGTAATTTTGAGCTTTGTGAAAATAAAAATAAAATACCTATTCTACATTGATCACTAGTTCGAGTTTCGTTGGTGTCATCGGCTTTTTATTAATCTTAAAAAAAATAATTTATATTACTATAAACCTTATGTGTAAGTAAATTGTTAGTTCAAATTCCATGGAAACACGATGAAACGTTTCGGCTGGGCAGGGCACAGAACAATACATATCTCTGTATGTATAATAAATTCTAGCAACAAAACGGACATAGAGATTTCACACAAGCTTGCCCATACTATGGTAAAATATACAAGTGCATAAAACTTACGCCTGATATAGGCTTCGCGTACTCGTCCCCTAATTGCCAAAATACGTAGTAGGCGCAGATGGACGTATATTCTGGTGTCTAATTGTAGTAATAGCATTAATATTGAAATACGTTTATGATATTCATATGCTTATATCATTGTATTGTGTCTTAAAAGTCTCAAATTATTCTACTGCTTTTATTAATACGCGGAGCTTCATAAATAACAAAAATCGGAGCCGCAAAGTATGGATATTAATATATATCGTGTGTAGTACCTGCGTTCCTTTCCTTTATAATATGTGGTAATACGTGCTTGCTATCGTTACAAAAAACCGACGTTGGTGGCGCTGTCAGTGGAAACCTATGATATTTAACTCATTATATTATGTAGATGAAATGGAAAAAAATCTTTTTTCTATTTATGCTGCTTGTCTTACTTTTTTTTGTAAATGTTACTGTGTTTTTATTTGTACAACAGCAACTTTCTTTTTTGTTTATATGTTGTCAGTTTCAGGTCAACAAAGGGCATGATATAAACTGAGTAAGATTCTATTCTACTAGCAGCACACAACATTATCCTATCTTGTTATATTAAGATATACTGTTAAGATAAAATTATGTTTTGTTTTATTTTATGTTCTAGTAATAAGTGTAACATGTGTTTTTGTGTGCCTCAGTAATAAATAATTTTTTCTTTCTTTCTTTCTACAGGGACATATTTTTAAAATATACGTTTTTTTGCTTTTTTCTTATTAACTTTTCTAAATATTTGAGGATTTCAAAATGAAATACTGTCTATAGTTTACGCGAGTAGTATACATTTAATAAAAACACTTAAACGGGTTAAAACGCGATATATGAGTTAAACTTACGCGGTCACGGGCCGTGACCACGGCTGCTGCAAAGCATCCGAAACGTCGGGCCGAAGTTAAAAATAATTTTCAAATAAGTTTAACTAATATATCGCGTTTAAAACCCTTAAAGTGTTTTATTTAGATTTCAAAATTATTGCTTTAGTATGGATGTTAGATAAATTAAAAATTAGAACTAGACTGAAAAAAATATGACACGAATGCCAACTATTTCACCATGTACAATAACATATTTAAGTTATAAAAGTTTAGACACTAAACATTTAAGTTAACATTATATCAATTATTAAAGCACAAAATTAACATAACCAAGGGGAATTCTCATTTACCTACGTCTCGTTCCGTTAATAATTATCCTTTGTCATAGACAATATCGTGATATTTTTCAATTTATGTTTAGAAATTAGCGGAATCGAATCAAGAGCTGTCACAGACAGTTCGGTTTGGTTATATCGCTTCATACGTTTTATAATTGACTGTATTCGATAAATTGTTCATTAAATTGGGTACAATTGAATTTGGAGCAATATTGAAATCGCAGTGCGGTTTTTAAAATTATTAGTATTAAAATAATTTTAGTAATAATGAGATTGAACAGTGATTATTATTAAATGACCCTTTTTTATTATTATTAATATATAGGTTTATAGACTTTATTTCTCATAAGCTTGTGCATTTATAATGAGATTTACATAATAAAAGAACTTAAAAACTACGTATACATATACGCGGGTGGCTTAAATAATAAATAAGAGCCGTGTATGCTATTGTAATGATTGATACATTCGCTAGGTCAAAGGAAGTATCCTGATTTTATACACAGGGCGCGGGTCAGGTTGGTGAAACCCGAAGTAAAAAAAATATGGTATGTATCACGCATTTGGGCAGCGCTATAGGTAGGTATACAACGTGTATATGTATAAAACAAAAGTTTTTTTGCTCCATCTAAGTATATAATATCACTAACAAGTGTTTTCGAAATCCCTTATTTCTTTAATCAAATAATAACTATCCCTATACTTAATAACTAATATCTCAATTTCTTTTTCAGAAAGCAACTACACTTAATTAAACAGATAGGTTTGATTTTAAATTAAAAAAAAAACTATTTTAGTTATATATTTTAATGGCCTTCGTCAATACTCAGAGGGATGGACATGTCTGGCTCGTAGGAGGGGTCGAGGGTGCGTGTGCGCAGAATCTCTTTGTACACGTAAGCCGACTTCCTTGGTGTTCGAGTGCGATTCGTGCTATCGTAATCTACCTCGTACAAACCGAATCGTTCTCTGCGAAATCAAATAACAGTTAAGGGTATTTATTACTGTTATTAACAGGAAAACGTGCATATTTGTTAGATGTATTTAAAAGTTGGTCCATATTACTGATTTAAATAAAACATTTAACGGTTTAAAGCGCTATATATATTAGTTAAGCTTTACGGTCCGATGTTTCGGATGCTTTGCTACAGCCGTGGTCAAGAATAGCATCCGAAGCGTCGGTCACTAGTTAAAATATATAAAAAAAAGTTTAACTAATAATTTTCGCGTTATAAACCTTTGAAGTGTTTTATTTAAATGTGTGGTACTCGCGTAAACTGCAGACAATATTTCGTATAACTGATGTTGGAGAGAACAAAGGATTTTGGACGTCAAAAACGTATTGATACTGAAGTGTATTCATCAACTTATCGCTTATCTTATTTTTAAAATTATACATATATGCACATTCATGCATTTTTCACAAAATATTTTGACATGAAATAAACAATTGATAACAGTAGTTCTTACGTGTATCCATATCTCCACTCAAAATTATCCATCAAACTCCAAGCGGTATAAGCCTTTACATCGGATCCCTCTTCAATCGCATCTAACATGGCAGATAGATATTCTCTATAATAGTAGACGCGGTGATCATCATTTAATCCACCAAATGTTGCGAAACCGTTCTCCGTAATATATATTGATGGATTTCCATACTCTGCCCGAATGAATGATAGCAATTTGTAGAAACCCCATGGCACAGCCTACACAGATTTATAGAGAGGCATGAAAAACCAAAGGAAAATTAAGTGAATACAAACAGTTACTTTAATTAATTAATGTGAAATTAATTAGGCAAAATTTACGACACTGGCAGGACGTAAACCGGCATCTACAGCCTTACGTACGTAACCAATCGACACGGTAGTTAAAACTGATTTTTAATTTATCTCTAATTAATTGGGAGAAAAACGACACGGATAGTCAAAACCTGGCCGTGTCGTAATTTTTTTATATAGTGCCTATGTCTCCAATAACATGTAAAAATATAACAGTTTTCAATAATTTGACATATACACACTTATATCATTTAAAATACAGTATTTTTCGTTTAAAAATCCGAACTTAGAAGGGAATGTATTACTTATTAGTTAGTACGTCTTAAGTTTAATTACTAACCAACTGTTTGACCACAGCTAAGTAGTATCCGAATCGTTGGGTCGACATACCCTTGGGTCTACGTAAAGCAATGTGTTTAGGCCATATGTAGGATTATTTAGTATAGGTTTATTTTTAAATGCAACACACATATAGATTAAAGGCTTTAAAACTGCGAAATGTGAGACACGATGCACCTACAAGATTTTTTGGCAAGCAAACAAACAGACTTAAGCGATCGTACCAGATTGTCGAAAATGGCGCTCTTTTTGGTTTGTTTTGAAAACTAAGATTAACTTTGGAACTCTGAGCCAGCGAAGTGAGTATACAAACAGATACACAAAAGTGTTTCTTTAATCCATACATTTATAGTTTTTAGTGACGATAATACTCACGTGTACTTTCTGTGACTCTCCAATCTGCCATTCTGGTAAGGTATATTGCGCTACACCTACGTCATCGTGAATCGAAGGTGAATCGAACATAGTGTAAACAGATTCATTCCTATACGCCATACGGGTCGTGTAATGATTCAAACCGAAAGCGTCAGATGTACCTCGGACGAATTCAATCTCTTCGGAAGTAAACTCGATCAGTCTGCTTCTAGAATAACCCTGCTCTGCGCTCTTGGCGGCAATCCTCTCCTTCATAGCTGGTGGATAGTCACCTGTTTCTGAGAAAATAGGATGCACGTATTGGGCCCACTGAAAAATAATAGAATTAAGGATTTGAACGACAGAAGGCTTGAATTTCAGTGAAATAAGTTGATGCCATTAAATATAATTAAAACCTACTAGCGACCTATTTTGCTTTAAACCTTAGAAAATTTAGCCTGCATCTTCAAAATAAAAGTGTTAAGACATAACTAACAGATCTTACGAAGAGTACACACGTAATACATACGTAGTAGTATGCTTGTATTAATTACATTTATATGAAATATATCATATTTATTTTTAAGAATCAAGCTTATTTATGTATGGTAATACATTTTTCGTTAATTCTTACCATAAATTGGTTTAAATCCTTAGCCGCTTGCTCATGTTCTTCGCTCTCAGGTTCATACCACTGAGCACTGAAGCCAACGAACACCATACCATTCCACTTAGGCTTGTATTCTTTGTCATAAATATGATAAGCAGTCGCATGAGCTAATAGTAAGTTCTTAGTACACATATACTCTGCCAGACCTTTACTATTCAACATCGGCGCCTTAATAGTGTCGCCGTAACCGTCATTACACACTTGGTATGGTTCGTTAATCGTTATCCAGTACTTTACTCGATCTCCGAAAAGATCAAACGCAACCCTTGCGTAATCCGAATACCAGTCAACGATGTTTGGATTGGTCCAACCACCTAAAGTTTGGAGTTTTTGGGGAAGGTCCCAATGGTACAGGGTAATCATCGGTTGGATGTTGTGTTTCAGTAATTCGTTGATTAAGTTATTATAGTAATCTACGCCATCTTGATTTATTTCGTTGGGATAACTGTTGGGCAAAAGTCTCGTCCACGATAGTGAGAACCTGTAGTAGTCCAAGCCTAGTTCTCTCATCATTTCCACATCTCTTTTGTATAGATGATAGGAGTCATCGGCAATATCTCCATTCGAGCAGTCTAATATTAAACACGGTTTCGTATGAGCCAAGTGGTCCCAGATGTTTTCCGATTTCCCTATAAGAAATTTTGAAAGAGTTTTAAATAAAAATACTGTACGCTTTTTAAACTGTTAAAGTGTTTTATTTAAAGAGGGACGTGATAGTGAAAAGAATAAAAAAATACCGTTTGCATTCCAAGCTCCTTCGACCTGATAGGAAGCTGTAGCGGTTCCAAAGAGGAATCCTTCGGGGAATTTTCTCACTTCATGGCGCTGAGACGTTTCGCTTTCCACACCCGCTATGGAGAATAAAACCAAACTGTAACAAGTTAAAGAGATCGAGATTTTATTGTACATCTAATTTAGGCTTTTCTATAACCAGATATCTCAATTTTAGGTTTAATAAATTAAATTAGTTAGTAATATGGAACTTACATCGATGCTACGTAACCCAGCTTCATGTTTTTCAACATCCATTTGGATTCGCAAAGTTATTTGTTTTTATAGTATTCGCGATTGCCTTTATCATGAAAGTAATCTCCAAAAAATGTCAGATAAAATTTGTGATGTGTTTTGTATACTGTATCTTTTAAAAATCCAAATACATTTTCATATTACCAAAAGAAACAACGACGAGAGACTAATCTTTGCTAAATTTAATAACTGAAAAATATTTTATTTATATATAAAAAAATATGAATAACTATTTTATTCATTCATTATTTTTTACAGACGTTTCGTACTTACCAAATGCATTGTGAGTACTTTATTAATATAATAATTAGTGATTCAATAATTTCGGTTATTTTTTTAATGATTTCCAAAACGGAGATTCTCAACTCGATTCGTATTTATATATTTTTTTAATAACACTTAACGTTTGTTCTCTGCTTGCATATATGTATTATTAATTGGCTATACCTTAATAATATTAAACGTATCTACCAATGTAACATAATATTTAGTATTAAAGCGAGAAATGGACTACAGCTGTTTTACAGACTTTAATAGCCAAAGTCTTCAGTTACATCTACAATTCAAATTTAAATAAGCCTAGTAAAGACACCTAAGATATTATAATAATATAAGTAATATGACAGATAAAAATTTAATAGGATATATACAAATGCTAAATTATACCCAGGTAACTTGTGCAAGAAATGTAATTTATTTTCCTTAATACATAAATGTTTGTACATGTAATGAAATCTTTACACAATGCGGTTATTGTATAAAAAAATCCCTTTCATTTGATATATTTAACATGAAACAATGATGATTAATTGAACAGGAATAGCTAAAAAACACAAAATTTGTTCTCCTGAAAAATTTGATTTTTGCAATTGCTGGGTTATTGTTCGCGGGCGTCGACATGTAAACTAAAAAAAAATTAGCAAACAAGTTTTTTTTCGCCTTGTTCTTGTACTATTTGGTACGGAACCCTTTGGGCACGATTCCGACACTCAATTAATATATTTAGACCTCCCCTGGAACTGTTAAGTGTTTTGATCTTATCTCGTCGGACATCTCTTATTATGTCATCAGTATAAGAAGTTTATCTTTGAAGAGAGTTATCAGAAAAGTGTTACAGTACTAAAAAAAATAGCAAATATTACATTATACTTATAGTGGTAATATTGATGAATAAACGCTATCAACGTTCTGACTACTTTATTTTCGTGTAAATTCGTAAACATTTGTTCTTTACGAATCAATTACAATCCTTTAAAAATATGGTAATATTTATTTTTACCTTTTTTTGTTACTACCTTGTTTTGGTGCTACCAAAACTAAATATTATCCTAGAAACGTATCTAAGGCCTGTGGAGAAATGAGTCTCATATCATTATCTGTAAAATGACAAGTACGTTGTTGTCATCTGCAATACTAGGTACCTGTCGTGGTGCCCACTATATGTATGTAGGGATGTACTACTTTACATTTAAAAATAAAGAATGATCTTGGATAAAGTTAGTATTTTTAATCAATTTAGTCGTCTTTTCCTTTACTTACTTCTAAAAGTATTATAATATCTTTTAGTAATTAAATAAGGCATATCTTACTTTTCTTTGATAGTAATAATTCATTTTTTTATATAATCGATAAAATCGGTATTACTGCACAGAGTATACATTGTTTAGTACATCACTAAATTGCAAATTTCATTACACAACTACCCAATATGGCGCATTGTTAGACATGGAAATATTCGTGGTCATATGTAGCAATATAATTTCTGTTTTAAATGTAACAGTTTGATTTGAAATAATAAGGAATACATTGTTACTTGTGTATTATATAATGTAAGTCGATGATAGATTTATATTGGCCGTAAGTATACTAGCAACAATATTTTTGAGATTGCTTATGACTAATAGATCCACTTAATTATTATTGTAAATGTTTATAACTACTACCGATTCGTTTTTACAGGTATTCTGAAGATGCCATTAAATTCTATGTCTAAAACAAGAAAAAGAACAAACAATACAAAACCGTCGTTGTCTCTCATTAGAAAAAATGCTACAATAAGTAAAGAGGGTTTGATACCGGGATCTACAAAAGATTTACGTGTATGTAACGAAAACAAAGAGAATAAACCTCTTAAACGGCCTTTTCAAGGAATTCACCTGAATACACTGAATGCAGCTAAAAAATTAAAACCTTTGACTGAAATATCTAAACAAGGAGGTTGGTTTTTGATTTACAACTTGACACTTAAATAAAGTCTAAGATTTTCTATTTTATACAGCTATTAGCAAGTTACTTCAATTATTGACAAAATTGTTTTCAGATTCTACTGAAGACCTGACACTTGAGATACTATACAATAAGCAAGGCAGCCCTGCCATGTTGAATGGCCACCACTCTTCAGATAATCAGTATGGAGGGAGTTCGCAGTACAAGACTCCTATTGCCAGTCTTTCAAATCTTGGGAATACTTGCTTCCTCAATAGTGTTTTGTATACATTGCGGTGTGTGAACTTTACAGCATTTTAAGTTACAAATTGACCATGTTTCTATTTCTATAATAGATTGACACTTACAGCAAATTGTTTGTATAATATTAATAAGGCTTATTTATTTCACCTCTGTATACATAGATAATGAAAAGAAAATTTAGGTTCATATATTACATTAGGAAGTGCAATTAGGGATCATACATCGTAAGGGTCTTGTAAACAATTTTGTTATGAAAATCAAACAAATGTAATAAATCCTGTGATTTTCAGGTATGCACCACAGTTTGTACACAACTTGCATCATTTAGTCTCTGACTTGAATAGAATAGAACAAAAATTGGGCAGCATCAGGTTAAAGAGTTCCTCACTAGGACGAAGTGCGGCTGGAATTGCCTCATCAGGAACTAGGTCTTGGAGTAGTAAGGACTTGTTGTCCTTAGGCCAATCAGATAATAGTACAGGAAAAAGTAAAATCCAGGTTCGTTCTTAAAAAAACAGTTATTGTACAAGAACAAAGAATTTTTAGTAAGTTATGTTGATAACAAACTATGGTGCAAATATTAACTATCCATCATCTTAAATTCCACAAACTAAAAGTCATACCATTTTTATCACGTAAATAACTTGTGTATATTTTTAGATAAGCATGACAGTTTTATCAGTCAATCTTAACTTCTTAAAAAAATTTACATTTAAACTAAAACGCGAGATTTATCTACATTTTTTTATATCCAGATAGCAACTGAGAAACTTCATGAAACATACTTAAGTCTGCGAGCAGCTGAAAGTAAATGTCTGCACAGCGGATCAAATGACTCCAGTCCAGAACCATATGCTGCCGATCCCTTTCTAGCAGCATTAAGAGATGTTAATTCTACCTTTGAAGGTATTTAAATCCTGCTTCCATGTGTATCAAAAAAAAAATCAATACACTTATTGAGATTGTCAATTTTTCTCAGGAAATAGACAACAAGATGCACATGAGTTACTAGTGTGTATTCTTGATAACATTCGAGAGACTTGTCGGGCGCTTAGCACACGTGCTTCACGACTACAGCTGCAAGAAAATGGCGACAGGTATATATTTGCTTCTAATTGATACCCTCTAATTGAAATCTTTTACAATTTTCATAGGCTTGTCGGTGTTTGGCTAAAAATCAATGGGTCAGATCCCCACTGGTTCTTACATTTTTCTCATCAGAAGTCAGTATATTTAATCGATGATAGGAAGGTTTTAATCTGTGTATTTCTGAATATCCAAAGGCAAAATGCCTATTGTACATACCAAACATACTGACAACGCTGGGGTGTTTTACCTACTACCAAATAAATCTCATGCTTGCCTGTCCCCTAATATACAAGAAAATTAGAGATGTACATCGAAGAAATTAGTATATGTTATTCTGCATACTGATAAAGAAATATTGTGCTGAGTTGAAATATTTCTCATGAATAGTTGATAAGTATAGGCGGCTAAAGTAATAGTTAAAACAATTTATAGCAATGGTCTTGGACGTGCGCAAAATATCGAAGACGGGGGTAAGACACTGGGAAATTTGCGTAAGTCATGGAAAAAGCGTAAAGAGGTGAAGTTGAATGATAAGCGGACTTCACCCACTGAAGATAGAGCACCATCTCCTTCAGATCCTGAGAGAGACGAAAAGTCTCTACCTGGCTGGGACTTTGTTGCTGATGATTTTGAGGGTAAATTCAATGCTTTCTTTACTGAGAATCAATAGTAAATATAAAGGATCACTTTCCATAGATTCACCGACTATATATCTCTCTGATTAAGGTCTTTTTGTTACAATGTAGTTATTATCAGCCAGCAATAGTAATCTGTTTCACCACCTGATGAGAATTTCACAAAAAACGGTACATTTCATCCTTACTAATATTATAAATGCAAAAGTAACTCTGTCTGTCTGTCTGTCTGTTACTCTTTCACGCCAAAACTACTGAACGGATTTGAATTTTTATTGCGAAAAGGGGATTGTAAGGGATTAAAAGAGGGGGTTAAAGTTTGTATGGAAATTTGTGGTTTTTGAAGTTAGAACAAGGAAACTTTCTTCTTTGGCTTTTTGGGAATAGGAGTGGGCGTGGGAGTGGCAGTTAGAATAGGAGTGCTGTGAGATGAGAGTGTTGCGCCAAAATAGCACTTACAACATAGATTGCATGCGATAAATGCGCAATTAGATAAATTAAAAATCAGCCTAAATAATTAAAAATTCTATTCCACTCGAAGGAATTCGCGGACACAGCTAGTAGGTGTAGTAGTGATAATTATTCTTAAAGTGTATTTGATTCAGATTGACAAATCTGAGCAAGAATAAGTTTCATTCTTTACAATTAGGTACAATGGTGGTGCGAACTATGTGTTTAGAGTGTGAAACAGTGACAGAAAAAGCACAGGCTGTATGCGAGCTGTGTGTTCCTGTGGGTGAGGATGATTCGAGCGAAGAGCCTTTTCGCGCTGCATGCCTTTCGAGCGAGTACCTGAGGGATCAAAATAAGGTAAAGCCTATTAAAAATAACACTAGTATGTACATTATCATTTTATCCTTACTAATCCTTAGCTAATATTATAAATGCGAAAGTAACTCTGTCTGTCTGTTACTCTTTCACGCCAAAACTACTGAACGGATTTGAATGACATTTGGTACACATATGGTCTAGACACTGAGAAAGAACATAGGCTACTTTTTATTGCGAAAAGGGGGTTAAAAGGGGGAGTGAAAATTTGTAGGGAAATTCGTGGTTTTTGAAGATAGAACATTGAAACTTTCTTTTTTGGCTTTTTGAGAATAGGAGTGGGAGTTAGAGTAGGAGTGATGTGAGGTGAGAGTGTTGTGGCAAAGTAGCACTTACAACATAGACTGGCTGCGATAAATAGGCAATTACATAAATTAATAAACAGCCTACATACTTAAAAATTCTACCCCACGTGAGTATACACGCGAACGAAGTCGCGGGCACAGCTAGTATATTATAAATCATTTCACGTTACAACCTTATTACAACCATACATATTTAAACAAGATAATGGTCTAAGAATTATTTTAGTTTAAATAGACGAAACATCTGTAACAGATACATTGAAGTTAAACTGGTCACCCTATCTTCATAGAAGTAAATTATCTTATTCCTGGTATTCAAACCCAGTACTTTCCTTGCAATTTCATAAAACAATATCATCAACTGAGCTATGAGATGTTTTTTATTGCCATATTTTCTTGGAACATGCATTATCAAAAGAAATATGACATATTTCAGTACTGGTGCGAACGGTGTCTTCGCTATAACGAAGCGAGGCGAAGTGTGGCGTACTCGCGCCTCCCTAGGCTCCTGGTACTGCAGCTAAAGCGTTTCAGTGGTGGAATGGAGAAAATAACCCGGCACGCGCCTACACCCCTTCTCATGCCTTGCTTTTGTGAGCCATGTGCTAAACGGCCGCCAGAACATCCACCGACCCATAGGTAAATTCGACGACAAGCAATCGTAAACTTCCATCTCAGTGGTGACATCAGTCATAGGATAACATTATTGTATCAGAGATTTTTTTATTATTATACAATACGGCCGATGTAACTTGGCAAGCCTGATCTAAGCGCGAAACGCTGCGCAGAAACGTTCTTTAGGATGTTAACGGTGGTAAGAGCCACGGGCGCGGGACGAAGATCTAGGCTAGTGATTGACTCAATGTCAACACAATCGACCGCTTATTCTATCAAACTGTGTAATCGATTTTTATATATTTAGATTGTGGATTTTAAATCGTATGAGATATTATACTAAATTGATTTATGAACACAGTGAATGGTGTTGTTAATAAACAATACCATGATTACCTTTAAAGGAAAATAAAATCATGAAAAACTTTTTTCATTATTGAACTACCTGATTTAGTAAAATATGAGTTATTATTTATATAATTACTATTTATACCTTCTTTAGGGCTTTTTATACAATTATATTTTTACGATCCAATTTCCTCAATTTTAATAGGAATCGATTAAACGACACTCTCAAGGATCGCGTATGGACATCTCTATTTGGTTATTTCGTAAAGCTTCGTACATATTCGGTAAACAGTATTGTGGCTCGGTCACTCCTTGGCGTTAATTTCGTTATCTCTGTCTTGAAAGCAGTACGTTAGAAAAGTGATTGTTTATTGTTAAATTTAATTTTTAAACAAACTTGCCAAGTTACGTCGGCCGAATTATTCACAGAGTAAAATCGTGTATTCCCAGTGTAAGGTAACTTATTACTAAGGTTCAGAACACTTGATAGGTTTCCCTGCCGACAGGAACTATTTATCCAACCAAGTACGCAGTATAGAATACATTACTTAAATACTGTCTATGGTTTACGTGAGTAGTACACATTTAAATAAAACACTTTAACGGCTTAAAACGCTATATATTAGTTAAACTTCGGCCCACCGTTTCGGATGCTTTGCAGCAGCCGTGGTCACGGGGAGACCTAATATATCGCGTTTTAAACCGTTAACGTGTTTTATTTAAATATATTACTTACTAATAATATAATATTACTATTATATATTAGTCAGTATAAAATATATATATATGTATATATTTTTTATTATTTATAACGTAATCCAGAAAATAATGAATGTTTCAGGTATATACTTTGGGCAGTAATAATGCATTTGGGACAAACACTAACGGGCGGGCACTACGTAGCGTACGCTCGTGACAGCTCTCAAGGTGACGTCAAATGCGAACGCGAAACTACGGAGAACGCCGCGGCCAATACCGGAACCAGTTTTATGAGGACACTATTCAATAGGCCAAGACCACAGCCCACAGGATGCACGGCTAGAGATTGTTGCGTTCCGAGGCAAAGGCCTGAGGTGGGCTGGCTGGCCTGCGACGACGACCTCGTCAAACCGATCTCCAACGAAGAGTTTGAAGATCTACTCTCGGCTGAACCGAAGATTAGATCGCCGGCGACCCCTTATCTTCTGTTCTATGTCAAAACTGAAGGCTAGGGCCTATTAATTCACGTAGTGGAAGGTTTTATTTTGCAATTAGTTAAGAATGCCTTTTAAATTGTCAAAGCAACACCGTTAACTTAAAGTCTCGAATACATAAAGCAAGTTATAAGAAAACAGAATATTGTTTCTTATAAACTTGAGAGTATATAAATCAAAAAGGTGTTTAACTATCATAGAATTTTATCGTAGGACAGTACTGTAAAGTAAATGTTTTGAAGCATAAAAGACGGATGCAAACTGTATCAAACTTGATATTATATGTAAGATTTATCGAAAGGTGTATTCTCTGCATTTTATTGACAATACAAAACAAATGTATGACTTCATATAGAGTGTATTATCTGTTATTACTAAAAATTTACTAATCATATTTATGGAAAACTAGAAAAATTAAAAAACAATAATACTATGTTGTTGAGTATAATGGCCTAAAATTGAACTTGCTTCTCTAAAAAGAAATCTATTTGTACATGGCTGTATTTACCTGAAATAATAGACAGATATAATATGTGTATATTGTAAAAGAAATCCATTAATGAAGAGTATATGCGCAGTATTACCACTGAACATATAAGGGCACTTTTAAAAATGTTTTATATAATAGAAAATTTTAAAAATATTTTAGTTATGTGCATGTAATTTTCCTGTATTTAATTTGTGTAAAATTTAACTTCAAAGCTTCAAGTTTAATTAGATAATTTACACTTATATTTATTAAAATACGTCATTAATAAATGTTTGGAAATATGTATCAAAATTACCAAAAAAGAAGTTACTTTTGTGTCAATAGTAAACTTAGTTATACATAGAAATTGGTTATTTAGCTGGAAATATTTAAAAATATGTTAACATAACTATTACTCGAAAAATATTTTCTTATCTTTAATAAATCTATACATTCTTAAATAAAACGTTATCGTTTTGTATTTCATACATTTATTTCCAGCTAAAATTCAACATTTAATGTAGCTCGCTTTTTAAACTTTAATAGTAATACTTTATTCATATTCAAACGAATTTGCTATTAACTAAGAGAGCCTTCTTCACAAACGACTATTTTTCTACATGGCATGTAAGTTTATCCTTTTCTATGTCTGTTTATTACCCTTTGTGATAGCCATTTCTAATACAATATGTTAAAGTAGTCGTTAATATGGAGACCAATTCTAATGTTATGATTAGTGATTACTACATTAATATGTTTTTAATTCGTGTTAATTTTATTTACGCTAGTAAATATTTTACCATACTCATTGGCCTTAAGCAGTCGAACTCAGTGTGTTTAGCTTTAAATTAGCAGCTATTTTTGTATTACGTTAATCGTTATTGTAATAGTGACGCAGAATGGTGATTGGGTATTCAAACTCTGTGTAGTATTTTAATATCAATTTATTTAAAATGTATGAAAATAAACATATATTCATTTATCCGCTACTACTTCAGTGAGATTTCTACCTTACGTCTAATAATGAGAAGTCTATATGTTTATTTTGAAGTATTGTTCTCTCATTTTATCTTTCTTAGTCAAAATTGAGAAATTGCTGATATTCGCTATGCTGCAGTCATCTTAAGACATAATTTTATTTAATAATTTTAATTGATCCAGTGTATTTAGGTGTGTTGTATATTTGTGTTGCAAATGCCATTCCAAAACCTTTAAAAGGTTAAATTCTTGTCAGTAGTATAATGATTTTATTTTACAAATAATAATGCAAAAATGTTAATTCATTGTAAATTTAATAAAATTATTTCAAATGCTAAAGATGCGTTATTATTATATGTTAAACTGATCACGATAAAATCTTAACATAAAAATTTGTTACCCTTAATTTAGATAACAGTTTATCGATCAGCGTCGGCCTGTATTAGGCCTAAAGATCGTAATCATTGTATTTTATTATATTAAATATTTTAATAAAACCCTGTGGTTTAATGTCATATTGGCTAATTTTACAAAAAAAAAACGTTTCCTGGTAATTTGTCATTTTATCCTTTAATCAATTTTATGAAGAGCAATTGTAAAGTAAATAGGTCTGTAAGGGTTAAGTGTATTGACAGTTCAATAAGATAAGGTAATCGCACTGGGAGCTATCTCAAACTGGAATTAAAACCGGTCAGAGATATCGGTGTCTTGTGAACTAGTTGCTGGTTGACTCTGAAACTGAAAATACAAAAAATACGATCCTAAATTCAAAATGAAAGCCATCGAGCGCACCGGAAACGTTCATGTAAGTACAACTTTTGTTTTTATTTTTAAAAATCATAAAAATGTTTTATGTTTATTTTATAAACCCTTTAATTTTATTGGAAAGGGTACAAACAATAATGTAAAACCTACAAAAAAAAAAATAGAGGTGAAATACGTAAGTGGTGGAAAAGTGTCAAAACGCAAAATGAACTATTTTTTATTGTTTAGGCGTGATTTAGGTTATTGAACCATATTTAATATTGTGTGTATTATCTTTTACAAATAAAAGTCTGTTTTTTTAATTTAACTTAATTTATAAAAACAATAAACACATTTTTATTGTAGTTATGTAGATTTCTCGATGTAGCTAGTGCGAAAAATATACAATAACATTGACTTTGTAATGACCTCTAAACTTCCATACATAGCTGTCAAACTCAAAAGTATTCACAAAATCACAGTACTTTACATTTTACACTATATTCCAAGAAGTGTATTAACGTCTTGTACCTAACCAAATAATTAACTAAAATATTATCTACTTAAACAGCATGGCACTTGTGAGTATATTTTAAATACTAGTTACTAAGTACTTAAAGTGTTTTAGTGGTTTAGATGGCTATAAAGATGGAAAAGTTTTACCGGTATCTTGTTCCAATAATTGAGTTATCTAAAGTCTTTTTATATCCAGAATAAAGTTATTATGCGTGAACCCGCCTCTAACTTTGTAATCTAAATGTTTTATGCATAAAATAATTTGTACTTTTAGTGACTGATTTAGTAGAATATGAATGACGTACCCACGTAGGTATTTGATTATCAAGTTAATTTAAACGAACCAATACGGTTCAGAAGTAAGAAATTTTAATAGTAATATAATTTTATACAACAAATAAATATAACCTACAATATTGAATATCATAAAATAGGTTAATTCCCTTATATCAATATTTTTTCCTACCTTACATTTTGAGTCAAAAGTAAGTGTAAATGAAATATTAATGACAACAATAAATTAACCTTGTATACTTATGAAGATAATTCTTGCATTGCATCTGTTTTTTTGTATTTAGAGGTAATCTGGGTATGCTGAAACAAGAATCAGTAAGGTCAGATACAAAAGATAGAGATACATCATGCCTATTATATTAGAACATTATTAATTATCCAAATACACAGAAATATTTTTATAATGAACCATAAACTGTTTTTCTCAAAACTTGCACATTGTGATGCAAGGGTACCTTTCTATATACTCATAAAACCTTAAAAAAACGAATCTGAAATGATTTGAAGCAGACTTTAAAATGATTTTAGAAATTAACGAGAAAAACGGAAATAGCCTTATTATGACATGCACTTCCTGAAACCGTAAAATGTAATTTCCACATGTCAAACTAAAGATTTCTAGGATCACAAAAATTAAAAATGCCTAAAATTATTAAAATATGTAAGTAGTCTATAACTAAGGAACCACTCACAAATACTTCTTCTGCATTACCTACCTTAATATCTATTTTACTGCAACCAAACTGCTACTGTTTGAATATGATAATCTGGCTATTACAGACCTAAACTGTCATGTCTTTGGCAAATAATAAATTTGTTTTGGCACCTTTTCAAAAGTTTAATTATAGAGGTTCTCTGGTACCCCTGTCCAAATGCTTATGTATCTATATTCTTTAATAATAATGACGGGTGATTTAGGCCATACATCGTCATTTCGGTTATTGAGGGCTAGGGGTTGCGTTTAAAAGGGGGAAATTTGAAAACGAGTTTGCGCAAATATCCCGCGCTACTTTTGATGCGCGCGCCGATTGCTGCGATTCGATGTTCAATACGCAAGTCCGCAATTCAAAGTGGCCGAGAGAAGTTTCCTACGCTAAAGGGCAGTTCAAGATCATATGCACCGTCGTATTCACCTCTTGCTGAATTTCAGAATAGTGATTTGCATAGTACCTGTGTAAAAATGGTTTGGTGCACTGTATATGATGGGAAAACGGAGGTATTTTATCGCTGTTATATTTTCGGGATGTAAAAACACGCAAAGAGTCCGCAGCCCATGTAGAAAATTAGTTTTCTGTTTTTTGCACTAAATTTAAGGTTTAAAAGCATATTAGAAAAGGATTTGCGGTTTTGTTCTAAAATAAATATTAAGTCCCTTACATAGGCTTATTGTAATTATATTTATTATGTGAAATCGTTTACAATTTTAAATTGTGTACACTTATAAGAATTACAGTTTAACTAAAATTTTCCATTTATTTTATTTTACGTACTTACTTTAAATCCCTTATTAATGATCACCAAAACTATTCATATGAAAACTCAAAAACCAATACTGCACATATATTGTGTCACACGGTAACACAGATGTAATGAAAATAATTACTTTTAGTCGACATTATATTTAGCACCTGTTAAGGAATTCAAGGTTACTGTTTTGTGCTCAATACAATGGCTCAAAACATGGTATCAATTCCACGCTTTGACTGAAACATTGTGAAGTTATTTTTGTCTTATAAGACTTACCTATATAAACAATTTTATTTTGGGATATTTATGTTTAGACTGGATCTGTTGAGAAGCCATGCATGCAGCTGGCTGCTGCGGATGCTTCCTCCCATCTTCAACACATGTGCAGCCTGGACATTGACTCCAAGGCTTCATATGTACGTCTCTCTGGAATCATCTGTACTATTGGTATGTGTGTGTTAATTTTAAATTGTGTAAGGTGGTTTTAAATTTAACTACAATTAACTGTTTAATTGCATTTTACTCTTTTTGAGGTCTACATTTAGAAATATTAGTTAAAACACCACAATTCATGTTTTTTATTTTTGTTAATAGCAGCATTGATTTTTCAGGGCCTGCTTCCCGAAGTGTTGAAATGTTAGAGAAAATGATGGAGACTGGTATGAATGTTGCTCGGATGAACTTCTCCCATGGTTCTCATGAGTACCATGCAGAGACCATCGCCAACTGCAGAGTGGCTGAGAAGAACTACAGCAAGAAATTGGGCATACCTTTCTCTCTTGCTATCGCTCTTGATACTAAGGGCCCTGAGATTAGAACCGGGCTATTGGAGGGAGTAAGTAATGTTTTATTTATAGATTGCTTAAAGCATTTATTTACAAGGCCAACAGGAATATATGTTATAAGATTTTAATTAGTTCCAATAATATATGTAGTTTATCATTTTTAATAAAGGTAATTCAAATGCAACTATAGGTGCATTATCTTTATTTTCTCAAATAACTTATGAAAAAAAAGGAACATATAATAGGGGCCAAAAGTAGTTTGTTTGTGATGGGCATTATTAAGTGTAACTATTAAGTAAAATTTGTTTCTCATATCAGGGTGGCTCAGCCGAAGTAGAACTGAAGAAAGGAGAAACTCTCAAGTTGACCACTGACCCAGCATACCAAGAACGTGGCACAGCTACTGTGGTGTTTGTCGACTACAAAAATATCACGAATGTTGTGAAGCCCGGCAATAGAATATTTATTGACGATGGTCTCATCTCTGTTATCTGTCAATCGTCAACAGCTGATACACTGGTCTGCACAATTGAAAATGGAGGTAGGTTAATCATAGTGTATAAGATTAAAAGTGAATCCCTAAATACGCTCAAAAATCGAGATTTATCAAAGCGATTATGATTTCACTATACTGTTAATGATTTCACAAGAATGGTTCTAATGGAGAAAAGTAAAAAACATTTATAAACAAAACTCATACTCCATATAAGTAATTCACAAATATGGCAAAAAGGTTAATTGTCAAAAATAAAACTTAATTTAGATTAATAAACATAATTAAGTAGGAATCATATTAAAACCGCGAAATTTTAACCAAGTAAAAAGTTCACTGGGACAACTACTACTAATACAGCTATCGGTGTACATATTTAGTATAAAATTATAATAATTTAATTGTTTTGACAGGTATGCTTGGTTCAAGAAAGGGTGTGAACCTTCCCGGTCTTCCAGTCGATTTGCCAGCCGTATCTGAAAAGGACAAGTCTGACTTAATCTTTGGTGTGGAACAAAATGTGGGTATTTTATATTATTTAATCTCTAATTTTATCATTAAAATTAAAAAAAATCCTAATCTTAACAACCTTAGATAGTAGGTTGTGTATTTTTTTATTGGATTTCGAGTTTATATCTACCACTATTGATGTGATTAAAAAACATCTGTTCAATATTTTTTCGCTTATTCATGTCTTTAAATTATGAGTCACAATTCAAACAAAGTTAATGTTTTGCTAACGATAACATTTGAGAATGTCACAATTATGTTAAATTAATGGAATATTATAAATTAACAATGCGTGCCAATATCTAGTCACGTAGCCAACATTTTGCAACATTTAACATATAAGAATATCTCTTAAATACACAATAAGCTTAATCTCAATGGATTTTAATTAGATATTCAAACAAAGTCAAAAGTTACTTCACATATTGTTAGCATTAGAATGTTATCAGTTCTTAGCACTGGTGCCTGGTGGTCAGTGTTTTTTGTAAACTGATAAGTGAAAAATCCGTGACTCTCACGCGATAGAGTACGGAGCACGTGCGTACTTTTTGTGTATTTTATCTGTTAATGATTATTCCTGACCTAACCCTTGGTCAAAGGTTGAATGCGAGGGTAACATTGAACGTTTGAACATATAATAGTTTCGACAAGACAGTACAGAAAATTTATTAAAATATTATTTTTTATGATAGAGAACAGGCAACAGGGATTATTTAATACCCCAGCCTCTTTCGCTTTCAATATTTCCTGTAGATAAAACGATCATTGATATAGATACAGACATGTCCATATGCTTCACATAAAAGGAACGGATTTACTTTATAAAGAATGCCTAAATCGTATTATAAACAATGGGTATATTGTTGCCCTTGAAGAATAGTACATAGGATCAAATCTTATCATAGTTACATATACCTACGCCTCACCGCTAATTATGCAGTATGTGTCTATTGATATTGCGCACACGGTTGTTGCATGAATTGATCTATAGGTACGTTTTTGTAAATAATTCTGTTGTACTTCTGTATACTACTATCAATTAATAAAGTAAAAGATTTAACAACAAACAAAGATTTAACAAACTTGGAGTAAATATTGTCTATAGTTTACGCGAGTAGTAAACATTTAAATAAAACAAAAATATTTTCTTTAAAATTCCAAAAACTAGCTGCTTACAATAAATTCAATAACTCCTTTTAGAATTACTTACTACTTACTGAACAAAATTGTTAAACTAGCTACCACCATATAAATAGTCTTTATATAAATACATTAAATGCAGGTGGATATGATTTTCGCGTCCTTCATCCGAAACGGCGCTGCTCTTCAAGAGATTCGCAGTATCCTCGGCGAGAAGGGAAAGAACATCAAGATCATTTCCAAGATCGAGAACCACCAAGGAATGGTCAATCTCGACGAGATTATTGCAGTAAGTTATTCATTACTTAATATAACAATACTTTCAGAGCAAGTAAATAACCAACAGGTAAACTGGAAATATCACACCACCTAAAATGATCAACAATTGATCATTTCAGGTGTTAACTTTTCTTAGAAAATGTTTCTGAAACAGATATTAGGACAATAGTTAAACCAAAAAGGATTTAAGAATCCATTGATAGCTATGGAATCTTTGATGTCGTTTTTAAACATTATATTGTTTTATATAATAATAATAGCGAATTTCTAACCAAGTGTTGACATAGTTATATACTAATTATAAATTTTCTCTTAATTCGGTGTGTCTTCTAACAAAGGCCTCTTCTGACTGCTAACATTGCATAATATATTCCTATCCTGGGCCAATAAAGTCCCAAGGCCAAGTGGAAATCCCATCCAACTTCCTGTTGGCTGTCCCAGTAACTCATTTGTTGAACAAATAACTCTTCATAGTTCTTATTAGATTTTTTTCTTCTAACCTTTAGCTCTGTAAATACTGGTTTTATTGAGTTCTAGTACAGATATAACAACAACGTTCATTGAAAGGAAGTTGACGATCTTCTCGATCTAGAATTGAAATAAATGAGAATTTAATTGTATTTTGATTTCAGGAAATTATTTCCTTTGGGATTTTTTTTGCATACTCCAAATAACATTTATATAGATTTAAAATTAACTATTTCTCGAATTTCAGGAGTCCGACGGTATCATGGTGGCTCGAGGTGATCTTGGAATTGAGATCCCACCAGAGAAAGTGTTCCTCGCTCAAAAGACAATGATTGCGAGATGTAATAAGGTATGACTTAACAAGACAAAGTGGTCCATCATGTGTTCATTCACGTTTTAATAATCAATTTCTCTAACCATAGTATAATATTACTTAGTATCTTTATAAACATACAGAAATATTCATTCTTAAAAAAGTACTCTGTGGAAATGAATTTAATAGCTTTAAAATAAGAAGTATTACATATGAGCGTCTTTGCTTGAGAAAAATATTGAGTAAAGACTCTCTGGTACAGGTCGGCAAACCAGTAATCTGCGCGACTCAAATGTTAGAGTCCATGGTTAAGAAGCCCCGCCCCACACGCGCTGAAACTTCAGACGTGGCGAACGCTATCCTGGATGGAGCTGATTGTGTGATGCTCTCTGGAGAGACAGCGAAGGGAGACTATCCATTGGAGTGTGTACTGACTATGGCTAACATTTGTAAGGAAGCGGAAGCAGCCATCTGGCACAAACAACTCTTCATCGATATGGTGGCTCAGGTTAGTATTTCTTTCAACACTTAAACTATACTAACACGGCTGCTAAAAGCACTTAGCGTTTTACTTGCTTATGTACATCATTAAATGTGTATGGGGGAGCGAAAACCTCAAAATAGGTACAATTGGAAAACTTTTGGTAATTGAATGCAATTATTTGGATTATAATTCATTAAAAAAATATATTTAATGGTTATTTTAAAAACAAAAAAACATGGGTCCACAAAAAAGTTTTATTTTTGTAATATACTATATCTTAATTCTAATCGAATCTAATCTAATTTATCTTAATTTCAATATAATGTGATATACAGTTCTATATGGTTACTTAAAATTTTACAGGTTAAAGCGAGGATCGAACCCGCGCATTCAGTAGCCCTAGCTTCCGTAGAAGCCTCTACTAAGTGTATGGCGTCCGCCATCATTGTTATAACAACCACGGGTCGGTCTGCACACTTGCTGAGCAAGTACAGGCCCCGGTGCCCCATCATCGCTGTCACAAGACACGCACAGACTGCCAGGCAGGCTCATCTGTACCGCGGAGTTCTGCCCATTGTATACCAAGGTAAAAGAGTGAAATTCCAATGTCACTAAATGCAGTGTGTGACATACATTTTTTATTTATGTTACTGGCCTTTTTTATTTCAAGGGAATAAGTTAAAGGTTCCTGTTTTAGCCTGACTGAAACAAAACAGACAGGTTCCATTCTGGGTGTGTAAAACAATTGTATGTAACGATATACGATTGTTTTTGATAAATAACTATTTAAGATGACAGCTTTAAATAGTTATTTTTTATTCGAACTTATTCAGAAATGTCAACTGCCTAGTTTTCAGGGTTCATAATAGCCTATTTAAGCAGACTGAAGATAGAAGGAGTTATGAGGTTTCGATTCATTCTTGCTTATAAAAAAAATTGCTTCTCGATCTGTTAACGTCGAAATGACTACAAAAATTCAAGAATAAATCATAAAACTTTAAATCTGTTCCTAACAGAGGGCGTGGCCAGCGACTGGTTAAAGGACGTAGACAACCGTGTCCAGTACGGACTAAAGTTCGGCTGTGCGCGCGGTTTTCTTCGCTCGGGAGACAACGTGGTCGTTGTCACTGGCTGGCAGCAGGGATCTGGTTTTACCAACAATATGCGCATCATGTACGTACATCATCATCATGTGTGCTTTTCATTCTCAGATCTCATATATAAATGGCAAGATCGACAAAAACAAAATTAATACAGTAACGACAATATAACCAGAATTTCTTAGTATCAAAAAAATTTAAGCACCTTTGTTTTGCTCTGAAACCAGAGTAACAGTTCTCATCTATCTTGGTTCTTTGGTTTTAGGGTTTTTAATGTTTGATTCAAGACTAATCATTGGAACACTTGGTGTTATGTTAGACTCTTTAAAACAAACTCAATCATTTGTATTATATAAAAAAGTATTAATTTTTGGACAAACGAGGTGGACAGACAAACGTGGTGTTAACTTGATGGTAGGTGATATAACAGCCATAACATCTAAACAAAATGACCTGTCAATCTAGTGCTGGTACTTTTTTCCGAATATTCAATGCTAACATTAAATATTCGGAAAATTTATTTAATTTACCAAACCACACGTCTTCCATTACTATCATAATTAATATTTTGTTTTCTCTTTTACAGCCAAGTAGAATAAAGTGCCTCGCGAGGGTTGGCTAACACGATTTTGTCCGTCAAGTATTAGAGCAAAAAGCAGTGATATAAGATCTAATGCACGAAAGTGATATTAAATAAGATACATTGTAACTTATGTCGAAATTATCTAGCCTAGATAAAGGAATTATTTATTACGCAGAAAGTTTATATAGAGTGTTGCGAATGTATGCTTAATAAACTTTTAAATGTTAAGAGTTTTATTATATAGTGGATAAAATGGTTAGAGAAAATGTTTTTTTCTCTTTTATAAGAGCAAAACTAAGATAGACTAAAGATTTAAAAACATTGACACTGCCTATTTCAAATTCACAACATATTACATAAATAATATTTTTATAAGTAATAACGTTATAATCGGTTATGTTCGTGGATAACATTTTTTAACATAGTATTAATTACTTTAAAGGAGGTAAACTTTCAAATTCTTATGAAAATAAAGACTACCCCTGCTTTTTACAATGTTAAGTTAACATGGCTAATCTTCTTGTTAGGGCTTTTACGTTATAAGCAGTATAGGAGCGGGCAAATTAAAAGCAGCTAGACAAGTTGTTATAATAATAATAAATCTCGTTTAGACTTAATTCATGCCTAATACTATATGAAGGAAGCTAAGCATGGGGTTGAAAATGGAATTGAATGGAAGATCTGGTCAAGATACCGTTTGCCAATTCTAAAGCCCAATAACGTCGGTTTTGGAAATTCGGTAACCCACAGACTGAAACCAAAACGCTGATTTAACCACACCGCTTTTGATGCTTCGTGAACCATAATGGAATAAGATAGAAATATATATAATAGAATAGAAATAAATATCACTTATTTCCAGATTGGAGTCTAACATGTTGTAGATAAAATATATCTCTTGACTTCATTGTGTATAAGAAAAATACAAACATTTAATTATGTGCCAAATTTAGAAGCAAAGGTCGAATCCATCATTCAGGGCACTAAACGATAAATGTATTTCAAGACATTCTGTTTACAAGTCATGACTTCGTCACCAGTAATCGCAAGCAACTGATTAAGCGAAAAAAGTATGCCAAGAATCATTTCGTGTAGGTATGTATTGCTATTGTTTCGTGATTACTTCTGCAAATTATACACATTAATAATAGCTGTTCAGCTGCGTAGAAGGTCAATAGGAAATTGCTTTTACACATTCTGATTAATGGAATCTACGAGTTCAGTGTCCTTGTAGCTTCGTCAAAGTTGGGGTAACGTCTCCGATCAATCTGGGTCTTACACCCCAAATCCCGCGAACACCACACGGAGTGGTGACTGAAAACTAAAAATAACCGCGCGCTCTTCAGTACCGCCGCAAACTCGGTGCGCGACGCCCGCGCAGTTCGCGAAACGCAACCATGGCGGAGACAATCGAAGAAACATACGAGACTGCGGTCACCCGCAAGGTGGTCCGCACGAGCCTCAAGATAGAGGAGGTGAGGACACGACTGCTTTATGTAATGAAACACAAATAGATGCGCCCGCGACGCCGCACCTGCTCACATAACAGATAACACATTTGACAGTGAACACGGACGTAAACACTAGCGTTATCCTGGCCCGGTCTACGTATGCGGAAAGCATGAGACACTAATGTGTTCGTAATTCCCTTCATTAGCCCCTCACATTCGATGACATATGGGCCGGTTTCCGCCCAGCCTATTCCGGGAATTACACAAGTGGAAGCCGGTCCAATCTATGGTCGTAGTGAATTGTTCAGGTCTGTGGAAGTGCGCGTTCATTCGTGATGTTAACACAATGGAAGCTAAGAACACCGTAGTTAGTGTGCATCTGCCTAACTCGTGATCTGGACACTGACCACGTGTGACCTTGTAAGACAACAAACAACACATGATTCAGAATGAAACCCACCACACATTTAGGTACATTTCTTCACATTCATACTATAAATTTATCGCTTACTCAATCATACAACAATATCATAGAATCAATTAAGGTAAACAATGCCAAAGGAAACTGCAAGACGTGCAATTTTGATTGATTTCAATTCCATTTTTTGAACTACCCACCTCGGCAATAAGGAAGGTAGTTAACGACTGATTTATCCAAAAATTATTGTGCCCAATTAATTAAGTTCATAACAGTGAAGTAATAGAAAAAATAAATGAACAGAGATTTTGGATATGTGTTATCACATTCCGTAGTTAACAATGAATGTCAGCGGGACTACAGTTCGTTTCCAAAGCGCAAAATCCAATGGAAAAACGCGTCGTAGCATATTTTCGTCTTGGCTCCTATCCTAGTTTATCTGCTACATTACGATGTTTATTCACAATACGAATGCGAACGTTAGTGTGTGTGCAACCACTTATGTTTTGAAATGGGGAAAAGAAAACCATAAATTTGATCAGGGGATGCTGAAACATTAAAAAAATAGAAATATCTAAATCGCGACTACAGATTTACATAGATAAAAATAAACAAAACAGAGCAATTACATGCACGATAAAACACGGAATTCATCATCTGTGTTATAATTATGCGAAAATACGAGAGAATATCTCGATGTTATCTGAATCTTCAAAAGTTCAGCTGACTGCCAAATTTTCAGTATTTAGTTGGCATCTGAATAACATACAAATGTATTATGTATGCGTTCAATTATAAAACCTAATGGATGTTTTTATGTAAATTTGTTTTATGTTCGTCAATAGCACTCACGCTATCGGCTATAATGCGATTTTATCGTGCTGTTGCGATTCTCATGGGGGTCAATTTATTGCTTGGAAAAAGAACCAAAACATTTCAAGCTGAAATAATCATTTCTGTTTTGCACTTTTTACATTTTTCCCGCAAATCTAACTAGTTACTATTGATTATATTAAAAATATATATAAATAGTATTCAGCGTTATATAGAAAAATATCTAGGCGTACGCATTAAGTGTACAATAAATATAATTTAAATAATAATTTATATTCCTTTATACACAAACTTCTCGACGAATAATTATTAGGAATAAACAATAGGTTAGGGTTAGTTCGTTAGTATCAACATTTTACCTGGGACAGCTGGGCACATTTCTGATCGCGTGGCGGAGAGTTTAAGAGCTAAGACCCACCACGATGTTCCAGTGCGAATTGATGTTTAACGTGGTGGAAGGCATGGGATGTTATATCCCAAACTTGGAGCTGAAAAATTGACTTCTGGACTAGCATTCCGCCCAAGAGAGGATTCAAACCCTGGAACTCGTGGTCTACAGCCGAGTGCACTAACCCCTAAACCGAGTCATTAGTTAATAGGAGGGAAATCAGTGGCATGACAGATGTGATTTGAGAATCGTAAGCAAAATAAACTGCAACAAGGCCGCAACATCCCGTTACTCGTGTAATATTTTAATGCTCAGTGATCGAGATATTTCTATTTCAACGACCCACATTCACAAGATAAATGTGTAAATAAATTTAAATAAACCGGTAGTACCTATAAGTCACTTACCTGGGGGGTATACCTCAATCTCAAAAACAGAATAGGTTATCGTTTAATTCTTTTTAGTAAGTTTTGGTGTAAAGATTTAACAGTTATTTATAAATAAATCTTTGATTGTACTTGGGATTACTAAAAAAATATTTTTAGTATGTATTCATTTTTATAATACTCGATATATTCACATGTTATCAGGACACGATAGCTTTTAAAATAGATTAAAACTCAATATTTGCATATAACAATATTTCCGGTTATCTGGTTTTTAACAGAACATACTAAAATGACATTGTTCCAAATAAAATCAATAAGAAAATCCAACAAAGAACTAGCAAGAATTTACGAGCGACACAGAAGTGACACATAAAATTTCATAAAGAACCATGTCACACGACGAGGACATGACCTGATATACTTACCTGCCACAAAGCAGAAAATGGGTGAACTTAAATATTTGGCTCTGGTAATACCCTACAAAGCTACATTTGTTTATTTATTTTATGCACCCTAACAGGACCTAATCTTAAAGTGATAGACGAGAATTATTACTTGTATTAAAATTATATTTAGTGCTATTGTGAATTACCCCGGAAGTAGTAGCATACATCTATAGCCCTGTCTATGAGTATGTACCTATAAATTGATATCAATGCGTCTTTTTCAAGTATATGGCTGTCTCATTGTTTATAAACAGCGCAACAAAATTTATTTACAATTTCTAAATATCATTAATTAACCTGTCTTTGTACGATGTCCCTTCTAGAGGGAAAAGGTTGCTTCCTATTAGAACATTTTCTTTGTTTTCCATGCACGATAGCCTCATAAAGATTATTTCCATCTGTGGTACGTAAATAAACCGTTGCACCACAATCCAAATAAGGATGTGAATAAGCCGTGTTCCGTCCCTCGAATCAAACGCGCAAAACACAAGCAGAACAACTGTTCGGGAAGTCTGCCAAAGTGCGATTTTACCTAATTGATGAGCAGAAACACAGAACATCCCGAACGTTTGATCGCGCTCCAGCGAATCTCTATTAACTCTAGAATAAGACTGGTATATTGCAGTATCAAAGAACCTGGGATTCTACAGCATTTAGAATATAAACAACGTAATCTACGCGATGCGGAACTGCTTAGTTGGTCTAGCGGTATCTCGATGTCCCGGGTTCTTAATCGATGTATTAGTTCGTTGTTTGGTGATTTTAAAATAAACTAGCTAAGTCAGCGACTTCGTCCGCATAGAATAGTTATTTTGGGCATCCAAATTTGTACGCAAACCATCTCTTTATTTTTAAAGATTTAAGCTGTTGCTCACGACGTCGGTCGCGTTCTGTCTTTTTGGAATTGTTTCAGATCATATAAAGAGACATCATTTTTCGTATATATTTGGATATCTTGAACTGTTTTCGCAGCGAACCCAACGAAAGCCCACAAAGAAAAATAATTATCCCCGTTTTCTGCACGTTTTTCCTCGTTTATCAATTCTCACCTGACTACAATAGTTCCTGAGATTAGTGCGTTCAAACGAGGAAACCAACATACTTTACAACTTTATATATTAATATAGATTTAATTTACCAGTACCTTGGAAGTAGGAAGTGTCAACAATCCATGCCAGAAAAGAGAGGTTATCACAACTATGTTCGTTGGACATAAGAGACAATTCGACTTCGAGGATTGTGGGTCTTAGTTCTGAAGCCTTGGCTAGATAGAATGTGATACCTGTGATAAGAAAAATAGGTACAACGAATCTACGCAGTATCTACGGAAGCTCTACAGTCTACGGTATTGCTACGAAGTTGTTCGATTGCGTATTTGATTTGATTTTTTTTTATTAGTTAAAATGATTCATGGAGGTTCGACAACCGATCGCAATGGCGTCAAGTTGCGGAAGTCGCACGCGCTGTTACTTTGCGAGCGAAAATGGAACGCAGCGGATATAATTAAAACTGGTCGGACAAATCGGTTGGCGGGGATTTAACACGCGAATTCGGTCAAGCATCGAACTATACATCGATCGTTTCTTGACTACCTGATCGTATGTTATTTTAGTTTATTGCACGGTAATTGAAAATAATAATAAAAGCCAGCTCCCCTTGACCACGGCTGCTGCAAAGCATCCGAAACGTTGCGGTCGGGCCGTAGTTAAAATAAGTTTAATTAATACACATCGCGTTTTATTCCGTTAAACTGTTTTGTTTAAATGTGTACTACTCTTGCGTCAACTACAGACTGTATTTAAGAGTGCTGGATTGAAATAATATATGACCTAAGCCAGATTTCAACACACAATCATAAGCGTACCGCGCTCTTGGTAGTTGAGGTACCGTGTCAAATCTGTATTCCTGTTCTCTTTTCGTGACAATAATTAAGATTCAAGTGTCTAGTCTAAAGTAATTAAGTTATTTATATTCGTTAGTACACTTAGTCAAAAGAAGTCAATATGAAAAGCAAAACTGTCATTTACCTAAATTCTCAAATTAAGGTCATACAACAACGTTGAGAACTGGCAAACTCGGTGCTAGTAAACTTCATTAAACGAAAATGAAATTCTTCTGTGTTTTTATTTTGGCTTTGAAGTCGAAAAAAACACACAATTCACACTTGCGATCAATAACCTCCTTGTGTACCAGAATGTAGACAAAAATCTAAACCAACAAGCAATACACCTTAATAAAAAAAAAACACGTTACTTCTTGGCTTAACAGTAACCAATTTTTTTTAATTAATTATTATTCACATTTTGCACATGATGGCACTCTATAAATAAGAAATCGATTATACATTGAGCTACCATGTCACCGCGACATGGTAGCTCAAGCCCCTGCCCGTGTCGTAAATTTTTAATTTCTATAGTAAGCAATTTTAAAATAATTTAGTTCATAATGAACTGCAAAACACATCAATATATTTATAATATGACAAAAAAGGATTGACAACGATGAAGTTCGGGCCGAAGTTAAAAATCATTTTTAAATAATTTTAACTAATATATCGCGTTTTAAACCGTTAAAGTGTTTTATTTAAACGATGGAGTTCACTTGATGGATGATGAATATCGCGAACATGAAACACCTAAAGGAAAGTAATCTTTATTAAAGTCTAACGTAAAATTAACCGAGTTATAAAATAAATGGCCGAAACATTTCATTTGTCAATTAGAGAGTCAAAAAAAGCTACCTCCTATACGTTTAAATATTTTAGCTTCGAAATAATTTGGTCGTTCGATAAACTCATCGATCGGTCTCTTTGCAAAGCATTGATCGGGGATATAATCCAGAAGGAATATTCTGAAGGTCATCTCGTACGTTGCATTACGCCCATCCATTATGTATTTACGTCCGTCGCTACGTACTTGCTACGTTATTCTTTTTAAACGTGTCATTTTGTTATTTTCTGCTTTGAAAATCGATATCGGTCGGGGCTGATGATCTCGAGAGACTCGCTTTGTTCTAAATAAATTAAAAAACATAGTTATGACGTCATTCACATGTATACTCAGTAAAAAGTCACAATTGTATCTTATCCTTTGTGCAATGAAGGTGTATGGCGCAAAATTATACACACTGATTAACATTTTTCATGCGAATCTCTGAATGTGCGAGTCCTTGATATATAAAATTAGTGCTTTACAGCTCGTAAAATTGCGAATATATATATGCACTTTATGTAAAAACATTACAAACTTAAACAAGAATGTTAATAGGGTTTTTGACGCCAATAAAGCTTTGTTCAATGTCGATAGCTCTTTTAAAAATGGTCACGAAAAAATCTTTAAATCGCCTAGAAGTGTTTTTCTCGAATGCACCGTGAATTAATTTATTATTTTTAATAAGTCAACAGCTTATCGAAATTAAACAATACACCGGTAGCTAGTTTTAAGGAATGTTAAAAGTTGTATATATTAGTTTGAATTCCTAGTCCAATCAAACCAAAATATATGTGCGTTTATAGTAATTCCAGTCTCCGTGGCTCTAAAAAGTTTATATATTGCCTGTCCTATGTTCGAATCCCATGGAAACATTAGACTTTGTCAATTTGGTTTGTCTTACTAAACCCAGAAATGTGTCCCTTGCCCTACTTTAGTGGAAGCGGAATTTGATTAATGTGTACATACATAAATCAATGAAGTCATGTCACATTTTTATCTCGAGCTGGTCGGTGATATAATGCAAGACGAACCATGACGATTGTAGAAAACGAAAAATATGTGATGCAATAAAACGTTTGTTTTTAATTTACGAGCGACTTTTGTCTCGGCGCGAATATGAAATTGAAAAACGTTCGGCGAACAGAAATAGAGTGGCGCGACATCCACGCACCCAATGTCGAGGTGATAGCTTTTGCATTGTTTCGATTCTACTAAATTATTTTAAACTCCGTAAAATCTATACGTGTATTTTCTTTCTAATCTATTAATAAAATCTGTAGTTTACGCGAGTAGTGCACATTTATATAAAACACTTCAACGGTTTAAAACGCGATATATATTGGGTGAGTCTCACCGTGACCACGTCTGCTGCAAAGCATCCGTAAACGTCGGGCGGTAGTTAAAATAACTGCCAAATACGTTTAACTAATTGAAATCACGTGTAAACCGTAAAAGTGTTTTATTTAAATAATATTTTAATAAGAAGATTTTAATAATAATCAACCACACGCCATTTTCCCATAAAGGAGGGAATAAACGGTAAGAATTAAAGGATTTGGATAATCCAAAAGCCCTCTTCCTTCATTTTCATCACTGCATTATAATGTAGCAAGCAAGTGAGAACTACAGAGTAGACTAAGATATATAGAATAATAATATATAACCCAATTTTTATCATGAAGGAATGAAAAAGGTTGTATAGTGAGTTAGAGAGACGATTTGTTAAATGTTGTATAAACTTTACAATTAAGGTATTTTTAAAACGGAATATTAAAAGAAATAAAGAAAAATTCCTTGAAATAAAACTTACGCCATTTTCTATAGTATTTTAACTTATCTATTTTCACTATCTCTATTCCGATATAAGTTATTTATTTTATCAATAAAAAAAATAATCTTCACGTTTCATTTGCGCCTTATCGAGATTATGGAGAAATTAATTGGCTTTCGTAAATTGGATCGTATTATGGAGGTCATTGACAAGTGAAATAAGATTAATGATTTTTGTAAGGAATATCTTGTTGCTTAGACATCTGTTGTTACTTTTATTTAATCTTAATTTAGGTGTAAAATAGTATAAACATGTATTTCACTTCATCATAAGTATTGGGTAATATCAAGTATTATATATCATAACCTCTCGGAAACACAGCTCCAGGCGTTTTAATTTAGCACAAACAGTAAGGCTTATTGTATAAATGTTTCTACAACAATTATTGGTAATGAGAACGAGGCTTATAAGGTAACACTAATATAAGTCTATGGATTTGAACTCGTATGGGCGACATTCAGTTATTAAGACATATATAATACAAAATATTATTATATAAATAAGATAGTTTGCCAATATGTACTTAAATACAGTTTGAAAACACTATCATCACACTACTGTTAATATACCAAATTAGCTAAGTTTTTGAGCGAATTTTGCAAACCTTTTAAACGTGACCCTCTTAGCATTGTAGTTTTCGCTTTAACTCCTTCGTAATGATTACTCTTTTGTACTTTTTAGTTTCAAAGAAGCGCCAACCATACAAAGAACACCCCTGTAAAGGTCATTGACATCTCATGACTAACTATAGCCCACATGGCTTCTGAGTTCACACTGAAGTGAATTCTATAAATACATATTAATTTTAAGCGTAAATAGAGCAAACTTCGGTTCTTATAAAAACCGACGTTTTTAATTATTTCTTGTCAACGACTAGAACTCCGAACGTTGAACTTTTATTTATTTTATTTTAATTAACGTAATATATTTTTGGGATGTTGACGTTAGATTTGAGGTTATGTTTAAACTGTTTATAGTGGGTAGAATCTATTTGAGTTAATGTAGTTTTTTTATGATATTTAAGTATTGTGTAGGCAAATATTGTACATATGTATAAAATGTCATACGATTTGAAAACAAAGCTCTAAAACTTACAATGTTTTTTTATTTGAGGTTATTGTATTGTGTAAGTATTGTATAGTATTGAGTTGTGTAAGTGTTACCTATACTTTCCGAATTCTTTTAAGAATTGTGATTCAATGTGCTGTACGTTGAGAGCGTTTCATTAAAACGTATAACAATAGTAACATCATTAAATAACATTCGTCTATGTCAAAATCTTGATTATAAATTAAGCATTGGACAAAATCAGATGGTTCACGATTTAATGCCCGACCTAAATGCAGGCGCGATTAATGACTCACCACGCACGGCCAATGTACTTTTTTCATAATAAAACATTAGTCGAATGACAAATCGCTACGAATATCTCATCTTAGATCGCCAATTGTGAATCGTAAATCATTTAGGCTACAACTTCTACAAAGAAGAGAATTGATTTTGTATATTGCGCATTAGACGCGTGACTTGGTGGACAGGCCAGGTAGAGATGCAGGGGGATTTTAAAGAAAAGAGAATAAAAAGAGAGATTTCAAAGAGTATTTACAGACGTCCTAAGGTACTGAAAACGGCATGTATACAACGCTAAGCGGTTTCTTTATCAATTTGAATGATCATAAATAAGAATTCCAATTGTAAATAAGTTAAATCTATTTTTCAAAAAAACTATTTCTTTGTATTTTTTGTCTTTTTGGTGTTCTTAACGGTTAAAAATACTTCCAGTACCGTTTTACTCTTCAGATGGAAAGTAAACTGTTAATTCGCGTTTCGACTTGACTTTCGGCAGTGATTTCATCTTCCATCAAGTGTACGCAATTCTTGTCTGGTCTCTGAGTTATTGTGCAAAGTTCGATAAAAGTACAGTTATAAAAACTAGCTGACCTGGCAAACGTTCATATGCCATTTGAAGCCCTCGAAGATGAATAACTTTCGCCGTTTTTTCCACATTTCCTATTTTTTCATATTGTTTCATAGCCCAAAGAATTCCCCGATAAACACGAAAATATGTTTTTCTATTCGAATCTTTCTTAGCTTCGAATTCGTCCTTGTGATAAGTAACATTGAAACAAAGAAAGATTTTGTTAACTAGTTTTTTGTTTTATGAATATTTGTTCAAAATCAGATCGAAGACACGAAAAAGACACGATTGTAAGTTTGATATTGAAACGCTAATGCAAACTGAAAATAACAGATAGAAATAATAAATCATTACAACTCTAGAAAATTAATGCTTCTCGCAACAGGATGTAGAACAATACATTTTATGTCTTCGTTTTCGCCTATCATTAGACGTCGAAAGCTTTATAGGCTGGTGCGTTTGGGAACTATCAAAGACCTATTTATACTGAAATCTATTTCGATATGTTGCATAAGCGACAACAGGGCCCAATTAACTATTAATTACGCGAGTGTTGCGCCCACTCAGCTGTCTGTCTAGGTCACATTCGCGATATTGCGAAATGACTGATCCCATTCAATAAAGTATGAATAGTGGGCAGAGGGCGGGATTCTATCAACATATACTTATAGTATTACTTTTTGGCAAAAGAACTTTGAACGTTTGAACTTCAATATTTTTTACACGTCATTGCACACTGTATGTACATTAAAAAGCGATTTTAGATTGAAAAAGTACAAATTTTATCAGTCCACCTGTTAATTGCCTTTCTTTTTCTCGATCCTTTCTAGCACCACCTACCTATAGTCCTTTTAATTTATTTTTTGTTTTTCTCTCCACTTCAGGTTGCCTGAAAGGGATCGCTGTTTTGTCGCCTTTCAGTTATAACCTAGTACATAAAAATTCATTCCTGTGGTGTTTGTAATTAATAAAGTTAAATTAATTAAAAAAATACTTTTTAACTCAAAAGGTTGTACAGTCCAGTAAGTACGGGATTTTAAGCAGTCTCTCAAAGGAGGGATAATATCTTAGACCCATCACACTGCCCAAGTTGACGGTTAAATAAAAACAAAGGGAAAACAAGTAAATAAGGTTTACATACTCATTAGCCGTAAAACATCAATAGAACAGGCATACATAAGTTTATCCGCTCCATGCCCCATAGTTACTACGCGGTATTAAAAATTATATTGTTGTTTTATCTTATGATTCACTTCTTTGATACTAGTAATATTGTTCAAATACATATGATTTATTGACGATGTACTCTATGAGACTACGTTAACGTTACCGTCACATTCAAGGATCCCTTCACTACGCTTCAGTTATTACGTTTACACGTCGTTTCCTTGTCAGAACATTCCTTGGCATAGTTCTCTGCAGCCCACA